GGCATACCACATACGGACATGAAGATTGGGTAAAGCGCCTAGCAACGAATGGTGGGAGTTTTGTTTATTGTTTTCTTTTGGCCTTTTTGGACGCGACCGGGTCAATTAACGGAGGTGCGGGGTCGTTTCTACAAGACCTGATTGGTCAGCATCCGGGCTTGGATGGCTTGTTTACCTTTGGTGTGTGTGTGTGTGTACTCACGTGGTTGTATCTGGGGCACCTAAGTACCTTCAGTACTAATGCATGTAAGGGTGTACATCGCATGGAGCTCGGCTAGCCTCTCTTCAGGGACCATCACACGGCAAAACGGCGCTGCCCCTCCACCGGGTCTGAAGCCCGATGGCACCTTGAGGTATTATGGAGGTAGCTTAGCCTTTACCTAACATATCAAACAGCTACGAGCCCGGTCAGAAATTGTGACACCTGGAAAAAATCAAATAAAAATTGTCTTGATTGGGATGAAAAACAACGGCAGAAAAGCAAATAAAGAATAAGGAAAAAGCAACCTCTCCTCCTCCTCCTCCTCCTCCTCCTCCCCTCGAAGAATACACCAATCAAGACAACAACTGGTCGATCAATTGACTGACTGACTGTTTGACTGGTCACAAACTCGACTCTCATCCGTACTATCTGCTGTCACTCCCTCCCCGGGCATACAACACGCCGATGAACAAGTCTCATTCGTTTACGCGTTGGGCTTACACGAACAATTGAAACACCACTACGGATATATACTCTACACACTACACACTACTCCGTACCTACAGTACATTAATCCTCTTCCGACTCCCCGCATACCCGCCGCCTCGGATGACGCAGTGTTCCTCCAAGCGAGATTCCTCGGCTGGCTTTGGTCAACCCAACTTGGAAGCAATCGATCAATTGACTCGTTTCGGACAGGGCCTCGACGTCCAGGCCTGGCACCGACACGATTGGGCGACGCCAACGCCAACTTCGGCGCCGACGCCACCGACAACAGCAACAACACGCAACCAACACCACCAACAATCACAGACACAGCCACAACCACAATCACAATCACAATCACAACCAAACCCTCCCACTCTACCATTACAACAACAACAACCGCCACCCCGCATCTCAGACACTGTCTCGAATAATCGCCCTCCCCCCTCTCCCTCCCATGCCCCAGCAGACGCATCAACCGCTCCCGCAGACCTGCCATTGGCCCACCGCCCATTGACCGCCGAGTCTCGACCTCCCTCTCGCTCCATGGCAATGGCCACGGCCACACGCAAACGAAGCCGCGAGGCTTTTGAAATACACCAGGATCCCCCCCACGCCCGCACCGAAGACACCGAGATGATGGCAGACTCCGAGCAGCACACCGAAGAGGTCGACGAGCAAGAAGAACCCGATGACGACGTCGAGAATGACCCCTCGGATGACACTTCCGACGACGACGACGTTGTCGACTCGGGCGTCCAGCGTGACATGGACCGTCTGCAAGACACCTTTCCCGGCTTCCGTCAAAAGTACCGTCTAATCAAGCGCATCGGCGAAGGTATATCCATCTTCCTACCCCCTCCCCTCCCCCTCCCCTCCTTTCACTCATGCTGACCGACCTACGCTCACAAGGAACCTTTTCCACCGTCTACAAGGCCGAAGACCTACAGTACGATCGCTACGACAACGACTGGGATCTTGAAGAAAAGGACAATCCCGCCCCAAAATGGACGCCGCCTCCTCTGAAGCGCCATGGAAGCCACACGTCGACATCTCGCGAACCCCGCCGACGCGCCCGTTACGTTGCCATCAAAAAGATCTACGTCACCTCGTCTCCCACACGCATCCTGAACGAGCTCGAGCTGCTGCACGACTTGAGGAACTGCGCTGCCGTCTGTCCCCTCATCACCGCCTTCCGCTCCACCGACCAGGTCATTGCCATCCTTCCCTACTTCCGCCACGAGGACTTCCGCGACTACTTCCGCCAGATGAAGGTCTCGGACATGGCCATCTACCTCCGCAGCCTGTTCACCGCCCTCAAGGCAGTCCACGAGCACAAGATTCTGCACCGCGACATCAAGCCCACCAACTTCCTCTACGACCCCCAGTCACGCCGCGGCGTCCTCGTCGACTTCGGCCTCGCCGAGCGCGAGGGCTCCGACAGCAAACCCTGCCTGTGCCGCGAGAGCAGAGAGATCCGCAAGCAGAGGATCGCCACCAGCGCGGCATCCCAGAACGGGCCCCAGCAGGGCTATCCTAAGACCGACACCCGCCCCTCGAGGAGGGCGAACCGTGCCGGCACTCGCGGCTTCCGCGCCCCCGAGGTGCTCTTCAAGTGCACCGAGCAGACGACAAAGATCGACATCTGGTCTGCCGGCGTCATTCTCCTGACCATCATGAGCAAGCGCTTCCCCTTCTTCAACAGCGCCGACGACGTCGAGGCCATGATTGAGATAGCCACCATCTTTGGCGTCAAGCGCATGAGGCAGGCCGGCCTGCTGCACGGCTGCATGTTTGAGACTAATATTCCCACCGTGGGCAACGCCGGCTTCTCCCTCGGCAAAATCATTCTCTGGTCCACCTGCCGCACCGACGGCGGCAAGGACGGCCAGCCCGGCATTCCCCTGACCGACGAGGAGAAGCTGGCCGTCGACTTTTTGGAGAACTGCATGGAGCTCGATCCCGCCCGACGCATCAGTGCCAAGGACGCGCTGGAGCACGAATTCCTCAAGGAGCCCCTACCCATACAGTCGGTCGAGCCGCCTTTCGAGGAGGATCCCGCGGAAGATGATGATGAGATGGACCTGCTAGAGGCGCAATGATAACGTTTTGGAATTCAACATGATGCGTGCGTCCTACATATCCAGACTACAGTGAGCCGTGCAGGCATGCACGTGTACGATTAGACGAGGCACAAGGGCACACATGGGAGGTTCAGAGATTGTTTTCTTTTGACGCGGAAACAGCGGGAACAGGATGCGCCAAACAGGCAACGCCCCGGTATGGCGTTGGGTATATATCGAGAGCCCGAGACCCCGGGGAACAGAGGTCTACCATATACACACCACAGCATATATAGACACATGGACAAGCGTCGAAACGAGAACAAGTCAATGTAGAAAGTAATACCATTCATTCAACCCGTTCCCGTCCGCCCTGCCCTTTTTTTCCTTTTCATGTTCCAGAGACGCCACTAAAACACGCGAGATCCAACCCCACCACAGCAGTGATGTGATGATGCTAAGACGCCATGATTGATCGAATTTGAAGAGCCTTTTTTTGTATTCGGTTCAAGTTCCCCCTGGGAAATTCTGGTCTTCATGCTATGTGAAAAGCCGGTCCACCCTCCCCTATTCCGGGAGGGGTCTTCTTTTTCCCCATGTCCTTTTTCTCGCCTACGTGCAAGATTGGCGTCAAGCTGTGGCGGTACGCCGACCGCTCATCCCGCGGCCGCATGGCCCAAATCATTCCCAGAAGTTGCTTCACCCACGTCGTGTTGCTGATGCGCGGAACCCTCCGTCATGGTGTTGACCGAGTTTACGCAACGAGCTCAACGACACCACCGGCCTCGGTGATCTTCTTCTCAGCCTGGGGACGGGGGTTAGCGGCGAAGCGGTATGGAGAAACATGATCTAGGTACTGACCAGCTTGGAAACCCAGCGGGCCTTGACGACGATGGGGACCTCGGGGAGACGGCCCTTGCCGAGGAGCTTGGAGTAGCCGAAGGGGAGGAGGTCGATGACGGGGACCTTGTCGCCCTTGCCGGCGAGGTACTCATCGCGCTTCTCAGCGGGGACGAGAGTCCAGAGCTTGTCGAGGTTGATGACAGGCTTCCAGAAGTGGCTGCCGATGGTTAGTACGTGGCGGGAGCCCGACGGAGGACCCTCTGGTCGGGGAGTACATACTTCTGCTGCTTGTGGAAGTAGCGCATACCAACCTTACCGAAGTAACCTGTGAAACTGGTCAGCCATCGGGGTTCATGTTTCTCGTGCCGAGGGGAACGTGGGACATACCAGGGTGGTACTTGTCGAGGTTGGTGCGGTGGTGGTGCTGACCACCGGCCAGACCACGACCACCGGGGTGCTTGCGGTGCTTGCCAACACGTCCGTGACCGGCGGAGACGTGTCCGCGGCTGGAGAGAGAAGAGAAAGTCAGCTTCCGGGTACATTTGGAAACGAAGACATTTCTCCCAGGATCGCAGACGGCAGAGTTGGCGGTGTCCATCCCACCGTTGCGTGGTGTGCTCTCTCGAGCATCCACGACGATGTTTGGGATGGTGTCCCTCCTTTTTACTGGAGGAGCAATGTTGACGCCCTTGTTTTCAACATGCTCGACTCCCTCTGCCGCCGCGCCTGCATCACAACATTCCTTGTTTGCCTCCTCTTTCTCAAGGTTCCATGTCCCCATCGGCGAACGGACAACGACAACGACGACGACCAAGTCGCCCCCAGCTTCGAATCGTATCGACTGGGCGAGCTCGCGCGCGCGTGCGGCGACGTTGCCGCCGCCGCGAGGACGTGGACCTGAATTATTGCATCGGAGCGGGACGGGAAGATGATGAGACGTACTGCTTGCGGGTGCGCGAGAATCGGGTAGGCATGGCGACGGCTGTTGGGGTGGTCGACTTGGGGTTAGTATCGCTGAGGAAACTTCTCTTTGCAAAAGTTCGCGGGACAAATAGAATTTGTGAGGGTCGTTTTGCGCCCCGGCGTAGCTTCGGGAAAACCGCTAAGCGGGTGGAGGGCAAGCCCTACCTGGCCCGTGCTCTTGCCCTACATGCCGATGTGTTTGCTTATCTAATCACATCCGGCCCTCCATGTCACCGAGCTCACCGACTGTTTGGACCGTGCGTCTGTCAGACCGAGATGCCGCTGAGCGCCGTCACCCCTGGCGATACCGCCCCCACCTACCGGCTTAAGCCCATGTTGATATCAAACAAACTCACGATCGATGTCCGTTCGGCTGAGCATCGAGCCTTTCTCTGCCTCGGCTGCTTGATCCTTGCTTCCAAGCTTGGCTTGCATCCCTCAACATGGCTGATCATGCTGTTGGCGACACGGAGCTGTCTGTGCCGGACAGTATTGACTTCAACCACCCTTACACGCCCTATGATGTGCAGACTGACTTCATGAAGGCCGCTTATCGCGTGCTGCAACGTGGCAATGGACAAGTCGGCATCCTCGAGAGTCCGACAGGCACGGTACGAGCCAACGGCATAACAGCATTGCAGCCGCGTCTCATACTGACTATTATCCAGGGCAAATCCCTCTCCCTGATATGCGCCTCGTTGACGTGGCTTCGGAACCAGCGTGTCGAGGAACATGAGGCGTCTCTCAAAGTCAACATGGACGACTTCAAAGATGAGCCGGGTTGGATCGTGGAGCAGATGCTCCGGCGCAAGAGAGAGGAGCTGGCCCGGACTTGGGAGGAGCGAGAGAAGAAACTGGAGCAGATCCGTCAGAAGGAGAAGGCCGTCGAGGCTCGCAGCGCCAAGCGACGTCGTTTCGACGATGGGCCCTCTGGGCCGAAGCTGCGCGGTGCCGACCAGGACGATGATGAGTGGCTGCTTGATGAAGCAGATGCATCTGGCCCAAGCGATGGAGACGCCATGAGCGGCCTCAGCAAGGAGACCAAAGATATTCTGACGAGGTTCGGTCTGGGCAACCTCAAAGCGGAGCAAGAGGAGGACAAGATCGCCGATGGAATCAAGGTGCGCAAAGCCCCTGTTCCTGCCGGGCACGTTTGTAACATGACTCCCACCAGATATACTATACGTCGAGAACGCACTCTCAACTCACACAATTTATCCATGAACTGCGACGGCCCACATTCCCATCGTCCATACCGCCATCCGTCGTGCAAGGCCGAAGTAAAGGCGAGGATGCCGCCAAAGAGCCGGTCAAACACCTCCCCCTGTCGTCACGCCAAAAGCTCTGCATCAACCCGTCCGTGGCACGTCTGGGCACTCTCTCTGCCATCAACGACCGGTGCTCGGAGCTCCAGAAACCCAAATCCAAGGACAAGTGCCCTTACACGCTGAAGGAAGACAACGTGGCCCAGACGCATCAGTTCAGGGACACTGCCCACGCCACGCTGCCCGATATCGAGGATCTCTATCATCTCGGCAAGAAGCTGTCGATCTGCCCGTACTATGCCTCCCGAGCCGCCGTTGCGGGCGCCGAGATCATCACTCTGCCCTACCCCTTGCTTCTGCAGAAGAACGCGCGAGACGCCCTCGGCATCAAGCTGGAGGGCAACGTCGTCATTGTCGACGAGGCTCACAACATCATGGACGCGGTGGCCAACGTGTATGCGTCCGAGATAAAGCTGAGCGAGCTGAGACAGGCGCGGCAGATGCTCGGCGTCTACGTGAGGAGATTCGGCAAAAAGCTCAAGGGAGAGAACCGCGTCATGGTCGGACAGGTGGGCAGGGTCATTGAGGGCCTCAGTGAGTGGATGGATGGGCAATCGAAGCTCAAGGTATGCTGCTGCTGCCCCTCCTCATCCTCTTCTCTGCATTTGTGCCGCTGACCGTCCCGCAGAGTACTCAAGGCATCGTAGACTCCAAAGTTCTCCTCCGCTGCAAGGGCGTGGACCAGATCAACCTCTTCAGGTTGGTTCAGTATATCCAAGAGTCGAAGCTGGCCTATAAGATTGAGAGCTACGTCGCGCATGTCGAAGAGGAAGCGGTTGGCGCCGGCCATGGCAAGCCGCCGTCGAGATCATCCGCGCCTGTTCTCCACACTCTTTCCTCATTTCTCATCTCTCTCACCAATCTCAGTTCCGAGGGTCGGATATTCTACGAAAAGCTGGCGACCGACCCGCCGGATATACAGCTCTCGTACCTTCTGCTATCCCCAACTCACGCCTTCTCGTCCATCGCTACGAGTGCCAGGGCCGTTATCCTCGCAGGCGGCACCATGTCTCCCTTTAACGACTACAAGTCGCATCTTTTCCCGTACCTGCCGGAATCCAAGCTGACAACACTCAGCTGTGGTCACGTTATCCCACCGTCAAACCTGTGCGTGTGGACATTGGCAGGGCCGGAACCGGGTCCTAATCGGGACATTAATTCAACCTTTGAGTTCAGCTTCCAACGAAGGGGCGAAGCGTCAACAATGAGCAACCTGGGAATGGCCATCCTGAACATGTGCAATGTTGTTCCCGACGGCGTGGTCGTGTTCTTCCCTAGCTACGGATACTTGGAGGAGGTGGTTACTGCATGGAAAGGGGCTGGGCCGCGGAACAGCCAGGGTCAGAACGGCGCCAGTTCGATCTGGGACCGTTTGCAGCAGAGAAAGGCGGTTTTCAGCGAGACTCGCGGCGGCTCCAGTGACGAGGTGTTGGAAGCGTACAGCCGGGCCATATTGGGTGACGGCAGCGAGCCGCACTCGGGAGCGGCAGCTAAACCTCGTGGTGCTCTGCTTCTAAGCGTCGTCGGCGGTAAGATGAGCGAGGGCATCAACTTCTCGGACCGGCTGGGTCGCTGTGTCATCATCGTGGGCCTACCGTACCCCAACATTAACTCTCCCGAGTGGAAGGCCAAGACGGAATACATCGAGAGCACGACCGTCCAGCGACTGACGGACCCGTCGTTAGGGACCGCGCAGATGGCGAGAGAAGAGGCGGAGGCGGTCGCGAAGCAGGCGGCCAGGGACTTTTACGAGAACGCGTGCATGAGGGCGGTAAACCAGAGTATCGGCCGAGCCATCCGGCATCAGGGAGACTATGCGGCCATCGTGCTCGTAGATCGCAGATATGGCACAGACAGGATCCGAGAGAAGCTCCCAGGTTGGATTCGCGGGGGTCTAAACGGTGATAGCCACGAAAAGGGGCTGCCTCAACTGATGGGAGCGTTGAGTGGCTTCTTTCGGTCGAAGCGGATGGGTCCGTCGTGATTTGGAGAAGGCCGGTAAGACACTGTGGACCTTTTTTGCTATTTTTTATTTTTTATTATTTTATTGTTTTCCCAATCTGCATATCCCGTCAGACATCGGGATCGCGGGGCAATCATCGAGATGGTCTGCAGGCGATTCGTTGGCGCCGGCGTCTGGCTCTGCGGTCCCAGCAAGATCCATCCAGATGACCAAACAATGTGGAGACGCCAACAATCCAACGAGCAACGGCATCTGTATAAGAGTACGGATAGGCAGGGTATGAATTATGCATAGAAACTCAGGCGACAATCCACGGCCCCTTGTCCAACCCCCCCCTCCCCCCTCTGTTGGGTAGGTATCATTGGGCCGTAAGCGGCAATGGGCGAGACGTTTAGCTTGCTCTTCCCGCCGAGCGCAAAGCCGCAAATCAGGGATTCAACTGTGAATCGTTAAAAAGTTTCTGGGCCCTTGGAAAGGGTTACTTGCCACGCCGACTCTGTTGTCAGGTGGCGCCATTATTATCCCACAGCACCTGTCCCGGTCTTTGGAAGCTTGGATGGGGTCGGCGAGAGGGGGGGCGATGACACGTCTCTGAAGTCAAGACGGGAGGGATTGATATCGATAGAAAACTAACTACAGGTGGTGTACAGGGGTTCTCGGAGCGTACGAAGCCATGAGAATCTTATTATCCTTGACCCGGTGGATGCATCCATCTGCCCTCATATCGGCGAGACCCTGAAAAATGGCGTGGAACCAAGTGAATCGGAAGAGGCTTAGACCATAAGTGACGAAGCGATTGCGTGCCAGATTCGATAGTAGGAAGGTTACACGTGGACGAAGCCTTACGCGTGCAGAAGTGAAACAGGTTGAGTAGACAGTGAGGATACCACTTGCATCTAACACTGGCTACATTGCAGTCGAACCGCACCTGGTAGTCAGATTCTTGAGTGACTCGGCTCGCTAGGATCAAACCCCAAATCGGCGTCGTCCGAAGTTCGGAGCACCCTCCGGCGGGCACCCCCCCCCTGATGACTGACGAAGGCGGGCGAGATAAGAAAGCTATAGAATCATAGAGACCATAACCACCAATCACATGTCGGGAATAGAACGGAGGCCCTCCCAGCCAATACGGGACGAACGGAGAGCAATCCGCCAATGGCAGTAACTCCTCAGGCGAGGGTTGCCCCCTTTCTCCTCGTCATCCGTCTCAGTAGTGATAGTACCTAGTAGTAGCAGCAGTAGTTCTCATTCTTCTCCAATCACAGACAACACAAATCCCTTTCTACTAGGTATGTACATGGCGGTTTGTTGTCTCGGAGCCGGGCAAAACCACCGAAACGCTACAAGTGACTTCCCCTCTATTGGCGAGATAAACCCGTTTGTACTGGGGAGAAAAAACCTGCTGCTTAGCCCCGGCAGCGTGGGCAAGCATCACTTCCAAGCTATCCTTGGTAGGCCATCTTCGTGGTCGCATTCGCTTTTGACCGTCCGTATCCATCGGCTTTGCTGGGTCATTTTCATGGTTCCCGCGGTGCCCCGTGTCGAAGACGGCATTTAAAAACGAGGTAGTGCTAGTATTGCATAGATAATTATACGTTTATCTTTGAACCGGTACTGACAACCCCCCCCTCTCTCTCTCCCGTCCCAAGCTGTTTCAACCCTGTCCTCGTTCCTCTCTCTTCTGCTGCTTCCTTGGATGAATGCACTTGTTCTAGCTCTTTTCTTCCGCCGCGGTGGTTTTTCGCCTTTTGTTTGTTATTGTGTTGTTATGGCCTATTACCCAGACACGGCCCACGTAAGTTGCGGGCCCTGGCAACTGCGAGTACGGATACACTACTCCGTACAGAGAAACTGAACTGGGGTTGAGAAACTATTTGGACATGCCAGCGCGCACACCCCGTGTCCCACTGCCCTTCTATATCTGAATTCCCAAACATAACCGTCTTCCGTCGCGCGTGACATGAGCAATACTATTACGGAACCGACTGGCCTTCCGATACATCCGATATACAGCCCCGAGAACCCGAATCAACATCACGGCCGAGGAACGAACGAAAACGAGATAATACCAAGAGGAGCTTTGGAAGACGCTCGTATCCCTGGAAGTGCCGGCGGCCGCGATCTGGTGCCGTCTCCCTTAGTGCCTTGTCGCTGAACCGAACATTGGTCAACCCCTCCTGAGCGTTGCTGCGGTTCATACACCACCTCGCCCATCGCCCGAGCCCAACGAGTTGCCCTACGAATCACTTGGAGGGTAACCAGACGAAAGAAAAGCATGCTGGCGTGTCCATCTGCAACTAGCGAGATGTGTTGTCCTCGGAGCAAAAGACGCGAATGGTCGCTAACCACGAGCACACGAGATAGTCTTGCTGCAACGTTTCGGTCTAGTTTCCATTTTGTTGAAAATGTCCATATAGCTTTTCCTGCCCGTCACCATCTCTGAAAACCCGAAGATACCCACGCCTCCCTCTCCTCCCCCACTGATTGAAAAGCATCCCAAGGAGCCCCGAGCTCCATCACAGGCCACCGTGTACTTTCCGGGCCGACCTTGACAAAGTGACTTATGGAAACCGATGTCGTCAAGTCGGCGTTGATCTTGCAACCCTCTGCTGACAGCGCGCCCTTGGACCTCCCCCCTCCCTTGCTGAATCAAAAAGACGTGTTCGACTCTGGGGCGTTCACACCGAGTCCCTCGCCTCTGCTTGCCCAGCGGCTTGAACATCGCCGTCGGAATTGAAAGCCTCGCTCGAGATCTCTGGTGCCTCCCTCCCCGACGTTACCACCGTGAATTCGTTGAGGATTGCGAGCTCCTCAAACTCGGCCGCAAGACTGTCGACGTGTGCTGCCGTCGGGTTCATCGTCGCGAGATCGAGGTCGACGACGAATGGCGCCTGCACTTCGTCCGAGCCCCGGTGGTGCTTCGCATTCTCGTTCGAGTCTTTGATGATGGCCCTCGCCTCCGAAGATTCCAACAGACCTTCCCGTAGCGCCATCGACAGCAGGCTTCGGACGATTCCCTGCGACAGCCGGAACGGCCTGTGTAGCCTCTGGTAGCCCAGGATACAGGCGCGCAAGTCGGCCAGCTTCTCCGAGTTCTCGGTGACATGCGCCAGTTCTCGAAGGGCGGCGTTTGCAAAGTAAAGGAGCGCAGTGCTCCAGAGGAAGCTGTGGGACGCAGAACTGCACTTCTGGAGGTAAGTGATGGCGATCTGCCCCAACTGAGCGGTGGAAGCGAGGCAGATGGCCTCGGGGGACGCCTGCTGGGAAGTAAAGGACTCGAGCCGGATCCGCATCGCGTCGCCATATTGAACCAAAGGGCGGAATAGATCGAGCACAAATGCGTGCAAGTAGATGCTGTTTTCGACCCTGCATTAGCCTGTGTTCTTGTCGTCGACAGCTGGGCTTCCTCCCAACGGCGCATGGACAGTCTTGCAACAAGGTCAATACTTACTGCAGAAGCAGAACGTGATGGGAGCTGTCCCCGCTTCTCACCATTTCCAGCGGCAGGTTGTCGGCCCATTCCAGATATCGTCTGTACAGCACCTCCATGTGCTCAACCATGCTGTAGCCCCCGACTCGCAAAGTGTTGCCGTAGTTCATCCATATCATCTCGTGCGCAATCAGGGCCAGTTTACATACGTGTGGGAATGCAGTCCCCATGTAGGCTGGGAAGTGCGGTCCGCTGGGAGACTTTGCGTCTTCGCAATCGTCTGCGTCCCCCGGAATCGGCATCCTCGGCGGGTAGGCTATCTTGCATGTCTGGTTTTGCGCGCATCGTGTTCTTCGTAGTCATCACGTCAGCTGTCAAGGAGCAGAGCCAAGGAGGGGGAGACGATGTCATCTTTTGGTATCCCCGGGCACCGCAGAGCGAATTTTCTGCAAAACTTTGGACGAATCGAAGAACGTACGTGATGTAAACGAAACCTCCCCAGGCTGTTTGCCCGAGAGATTTCTCCCAGAGGACGTCAGAGGCTCCGTTTGGCCACCTCACAGACATAGCCTCGTCTGCAATGCCGAATAATCCTATGCTTTTGGCAAGGTCGATGGCGCGGTCCAAATATCCGGTAGCATCGGTGGCGCTTCTCGCGTGGCAGGTTGACGACATGCTCAAGTAGAGCAAAGCAGCCACCGTATTGGGAGTCGCCAGTCCCATCGCTGTCTCGTGCTCCAAAAGTAGTGTCGCCTCGTCGTAGAAAGCAAAACTCCAACTCGTCGCCTCCAACTCATATGCCGTGTAAGCCTGCTGTAACACGTTACGATACGTTAGTTATCTGTATCTCTCGAGCAGAGAATTTCCATCTCACACAAGCCCAGCTGAGTAAGGAGCTAACAAGTAGCCTGGAGCAGAAGCGGGTTCCTCCAGAAACCAGGTCGGCGAGGAAAAGATCGACGTCGAATAGCGCCGTGATCGCATGGTCGGTTTCGAGGTATAGAGAAAGGGTTCTCCTGGCTGCTAAAATGGGGATATTTACCCCCGTCCATGCCAGGACGTCCGCATTGAGCAGCCTCTCGTCGCAAAGAGGCGGAAAATCCGGTATGGAAGCCTCCCTGCTGCCCGGCTTGCTTTGAGCATTGAAGTTGAGACTGACGCTACTGTCTCTGGAATCCGCCGCCGGCATGATACGAGTCTTGCCTGCGCCTGAAGGCGACTCCGAATCCGTGGGAGGGAGAGGAGACGGGGTGTCGGTTGACATTGGCGAACGTCTAGACGGTCATGGTTAAATTCAGTCTCCCGGAACAAGCTTGCATCACACGCAACAACGTTGGACCATGATCAGGAGCCACCACTAGATGGCTTGGCGACAACCGTTGGTTGAAAAAGCTTCTTTGCAACAAAAAATCAACTTACCCCGCAGAGGGTGAATCAAAGGCAGCGCTTGGAGCGATCCTCATGGCCAAGTCGAAATCCATGTGTGGGAGTTCAGTAGGAGCCCAGGGTGAGTAGGCAACGGCGTGACGCACCATCAGCTCGAACTCGAGGGAAGTCTGGTTGGGAGGAGAAACCGCGTGAAGCAGCCCGTGAAATGGACCGTCATTGGCGGAATGCAGTTGTCCCCGGAGGGTATTGACGATGTTTCCAACATCTCGTCCTGCCCGTAATTGCCGAAGGACGTCCCGGGCCTCGTCATCGGGCACAGAACGAAGGAGGTCGAGCAGCTCAGCCGAATATTTTTGATTCCTTGCCGTGGCCTCGTCAAGCAATTTCATGCCTGGAGGAATGGAATTCAGGACCGTTTTGGAGATGGTAGCATATTCGCAGACAAGGCCGCGGCGTTTGCAATGGCTGCAGGGCTGCAGACCATTGCACTAAGATCGAGTCAGCACCATAAAAGAGGAAGGGAGGAAAGAAACAAAGAGGATGTTGCCTCCTGTAAAGCAGCGAACATCTTTTTTAGTGGCCTGTATACCCTCCAGCTACCATCCGTGAACGCTCTCTCAAGTATGTCCACAGAGGACTGGCAAATAGAGTTGCCGTAGGCAAATGTTCAAATCTCGACCCACAACCGGCAAACGCACCACGGCTAAAGACTTGGGATCCAGGAGCTAGAGTTGAGGCACGAGAACATACCCCTATCTTCTTCTCGCGGCAGCTGTTGCATGCTTTAGTAGTCGCCCGGCGCTTTCGCTTGGAGCCCTCTTGACCGCCAGAGCCCCCGAAGGCGGCTTCCCCATTGTCGTCGGTGAGATATATCGTGGAAGTATTCGGAGGACCTGGAAGGATGTTTCTGTACTTGCGTTCTGGTTGCATGGGCTGCTGAGGTTCGAGATGGGAGCGTCTCGAGGCCGGGAAGGTGTTGTAAACTTGCCGGCGGATCGATTGAGGGAGTAATAAGGGAAGTTGACAAGGGTGGGAGAAAACGACTTCATACTAGTCTGTGATCCACCGATGGTACTCCGTACTTATCTGTAGTTGTGTGTGAAGGCGTCAGAGACGGAAGCGCAACAATGGAAAAGGCTTCAACCGCCGAGGCTCACACTCTCTCTGTCTGTACGAATACAGGCTCACTCTATACACCAGGTCTGTGAAATAAGTGGAGGGTGAAGGCATTGTGTCGTGTTGGTGGCAGCAAGGGGGAGGGGGGGGACCCAAGCGGACAAAAGTACCTGAGCACCAGTTTCTCTTGCTGATGGCGGCCTGACATGGTACTCGAAAATGTCCCACACTGTGTTCCTTAGCCGCGGCCGCCAAGTTCCCACAATGGGTTTAGATGACATACAGTCATGTGCGCCTTTGCCTTACTTCGATATACGTTGGACGTAAGAACACGGTTTGCAGCTGTAAACGTCTTTTCCTTCGGATATGCCAGAGTTTGTGGCACGGCTTTCACATAGGTTTCCCAACCTCCCAGGATCCCGCCCTAGCAGCGGCAGCTGGTTGGTTGACTTGCATATGGAAACACGAGGTTTTTCATCGAGAAAAAGTAAACATGGTCCTTGATATTTGGGATTCGTTACAGGAAAGATGAATAGTCACGCTTGGGCCATGTTATCATCTTTTTGATAGTGCAATAGTGCAGGGTAAGTCTTCGCCCTACGTATAACCACGAGAGTCCCAGCCGACATGTGACAGACGGCGAGATTTACGACGCGTTATTAGCCTCACCACCCCTGAGGGACCAGGGAGACCGTGAGTCCATAACATAAATAGAGCACTCCGGACATCGGGCTTGCCGCTCGGCTTTGTGGATGATCGGCCATAGCTTGTGTGTTTCTTAGAGTGGCGAGGTAGAACGGCCAACATACGGAATTGGCCATGCCCCCACGTATTTGCCTGCGGCAAGCAGGGGCGAGCTTTGAACAGTACGGATAGTCCTATCTGGATTCCCTCGTCTTAGATGAGGAGGGGATTTCGAGATGATTGCAAGGTACATGTTTTCTCTCCAAGGACAGTCCTACGTTTCAACAGGCCTCGAGGCTTTGCTAAGCATTGTTGATTGGTGCCCGTTGAGCTTGGTGGGCCAAAGCAAAAGGCGGATACAAGACCTCGAGGGCTATAGTGGAAATTCAACATGCTTGGGACGAGGGACTACCCTGGACCCTGAGTCCTGAAGGCAAGAAAATGTGAGCGGTAAGTCTAAGTAATTTACGTCATTTGCTTCAATGCCCAACTTTCCTCGTGGCCGGGATGATACCAAAAGGGCGGAGGCCGAGCCAGGGCCAAAAACAAAAATAAGGAGAAGACGAACAGACATGATAGCCAAGTGGCTCGGGATGACTGGCGTCATCGTTGTAGGGAACAACAGTTGTAATGATCTGACTCACTGCCCTTGGTAAGCCTTGGCTCGTCTAGGTACATAATTACTGGCCAAAGCAGAGGGCGAATCCTGCGGGCCTGGGATTTGATCTCGATGGTCAATCACATTATGTTGAGTGACAGCAGGCGAACTTTGATGAAAAGTTGGGGGTCAATTCAATCCCCCTTCTAAAAGCTCCTCCCGCTTCTCCATTCCAAAGTACGTGTGTGTATCAACGGACGGGGAACACCGTCAAACGGTGTAGTCATTCAACATGATTGGATCACTGATGGCACTCAGGCTTCGGGGCGGACTCCGGCTCCAGACAGTAGCTGATTGGCTGAAGGAGGTGGATCTCGAATCTCGGAGCTGGAAGTCCCTTTGCTCCGTGATTACATCAGCATCGAGCCGCGTGATGACTAAGCAGGGTTTCTATTTTAATCCTCATCGAAGCGGTACGTACATGACCAAGTCCGATCACCCCGCCATGCGTGAATTTTGCCTACCTACAGGTAGCTATGTATGTCTATCTGTACATTTCAACATAGTAATGTCTATCTGTACATTTCAACATACTATCATGGGATCATCAATTTATACTCAATTCACCTCCAACAAAGGAAACTATGTATGTAAATGCAACGCCACAGCGTCATTTTGGATACTTCGTCAGCCTTGCGGCCCGCCTCGTAGAGAAACAAGGCACAATGTCTCGCGTCCTACTCATTAGCGGCCCTTTTTGGATTCGATGGTGACCTCTCATCGTGATTCGATGTGACAATCACCCTCCACAGACATGGTTGGGCCCATATGGAATCCTACGCTGCTTCCAATAAGCTGACATGCTGGCCCAGGCAGGGCTGTCACGCGGCGAGCGGCATTTGACCTGCATCCATTCACCGCCTTCCTTCGCCTGACTGGGCTTGGCCTTCTCGCCGCCTCGGACTGATTGGTCTCGCTGCTGCCTAAGCGCTCCTTCGTTTGGCCCTAGGTATCTGATATCTGGCCCAAGTCTCGCCAAACAAATGTGACCTTTCGGTAACTCCCGCACTCCTCCCGTTGCTTAGGCCTACTTCCGGGCCCCGGAATCTGGGGATTACGCTACCTACGTTACTCTCGGCTTGTCTATTTGGGGTCTTCCTTTTGCCCAATCCGATCTAGGCATAGGACTCGGCCGTTGCATAGACCAGAGCATCGTGCTGACAAACTACCTTATTCCCAACCCAGCTTCTGCTCCGCGATCCTCCCATCATGGACAACGAGAAGGCGCAACTGTTGCGCTCAGATAGCATACAGCGCCAGTTTGCTGCCATTCTCGCCGACGCCCAGAAGCAGTATGCTAGCTCTACTGGCCTTGACCTCAAAGACTACATGAACCCGCCCATGAGGTCGACCGAGGACCTCTTGAATGTCATCAACTCTCAGAATGAACAGTTTCTTAGTTTCCGAGAGAAACGCCAGACCCTTTTCCAGGTCCTCTCTACCGCCTGCAAGCCGCTCGAGGTCGTCGGCGAGGCCTTGGCAGGGGCGTCGGAAGATATCTTCCCCCCTGGCCAGACCATCTTCGCCGCCGTCGTGTATTTGATCAACGCCGCCAGGGATGTCTCGGCCTGCTACGACTCCATCATCGAACTCTTCGACCAGATGCAAGACTTCACAGTTCGGCTAAAATTTTATGTCTCCCAAAAAATGTCCAACGAACTCCATGACAAGATTGTCAAGATTCTAGTCACCATATTCGAGATCTTTGTCCTGGCAACACACGAGGTCCGGAGGGGGCGTCTCAAGTCATACTTTAAGCGTCTATTCGGGGCCGAGAGCAAAGTGCCTGACGCCATGAAGAAGCTGGCTTCTCTGACCGAGGGCGAAGAGCGGCTCGTCATTGCCGAGACCAGCGCTGGCGTGAAGCGCTCCCTCTCAAATCAAGAAAGACTACTCGAGATGATGTCAAGAGTAGATGTCAACGTTCAGACCTTGCGCACAGAAACTCGAGTACCCCAAACAAGGGAACAAGCCCTCTCGACTAACCGAGATAAACTCAAGGGTGTTTTACAGCCCTCTGTCTACCCACAAGACACCTATCTTGCACTCAACAGGACAAGGACACGAGGGACCTGCGACTGGATTCTTGAGGACCCCTCCCTGAAAGACTGGCTAGCTGGTAGCATCCGGTTCCTCTGGATATCTGGAAATCCTGGAACAGGAAAGTCCTATCTGACCTCTCGTCTCGTTTCGTGGGGTCAAGACTTGCTCAACAAGCAGGAAACCAACAGCATGATGGGGTACTTTTTCTTCCGCCAAAACAACCCGCAATCCCGCTCCATGACGCAAGCGCTTAGAGATATCGCCTATCAGATCAGCGAGCAAGATGTCTTCTATGGCAAGCAACTCGTACGCGAGGTCTCCACAAGTGACGACATCAAGACTATTCCCAGCGCGTTTAGAAAGTTGCTTGTTGAGCCCTGCGTGCCCGATAAATGGAAGAGGCACATCTACGTGTTGATGGATGGCTTAGACGAGGTCGACCCACGGGAACTGAGGGAGTTTCTGTCGTTGCTGGACGACCTCAATCAACAGCCCGAGCACGGAACACGAGTACAACTTGCCCTGATTGGGCGGTCGACCCTCTCGGACGATATCATGGATTCCCTCGGTAATGATTCGACAGGCGGCCAGCAATTTCGTACTTTGCATGTAACACCCGATCGCAACGGCTCAGATATTGTGTCTTACATTATCGAGGGTGTAAACTCCGCACGAGTCTTGAGAGGCTCCACGGAAGACTTTAAGAGAAGCGTCATCGAGATTATGACGAAACAAGTGGACGGTCTCTTCATCTTGGCCAAGTTCATGCTCGCCGAACTCAACAGGATACGGCATCCAAGGAGAATCATCGAGAGCTTGAAATCCCACCCCACAGAGATTGATGGCATGCTGAAGAAGGCCGTGCTGGGTTTCAGTTCATCCATCACTCAAGAAGAGGCCGAAGATTTGAACGAGATTCTGCGTTGGGTCTCGGTAGCGGAAATGGGTCTCACACTTGAGCAAATCGAGTCTATCTTGACGCTCAAGATGGGAGATGCCCCTTTTCGGCTCGAGGAGTCTCTAAGGGGGCAGTTCTCCTGCTTCTTCACCCTCGAGCGTGAAGACGGACTGTCGACGGCCGATCTTGCTGACCGACACGAACTTCACCGCCGGCTAATATCCCTCGAACTGGACCCGAAAAAAAGGACCAGTCCCGACTTCTTGGACATGGAGAGAGATATCGAATACTTCTCGAATAAGCGCACGACCTATGTTAACTTCTTCCACGCCTCGGTCAAGGAGTTCTTCCGAGAAGATGTGTCGACAAACCTGAGGGCAGATGCGGAACATCCTTCTATCGGGTTCAAGCTTGCCGACGCAAGGTTACACGTCCTCAAAACCTGTTTGCGAATCTTTACCGACCCGAAATACTTCACTCTTGGCGAGGAGGGCCTGTCATTACAGCGTTACGCCGCTTGGTATTGGCAGGAGCATCTGGAGGATGTTGACACCACTTCTGTTTCCGCAGCCGAGAAGGCCGACATCGGCAGTCGCCTCTACACCATGCTGACCGACCCCACGATCCTCTTGACGTGGACAAACCTGTTTGAGGAGAGTTTGGATATATGGACCGATCATAACATCCAAGTCGTCTCTCGGTGGCTTCAAGACCCGGATGTTACGAGCGCTTTGTCTTCGGAGCAAAAGGTCTGGGTCACGGCAGCATCATCAAGCCCAGCCAGCCTGCTTGAGCCTATGGGAAGAACCTTCTCCAAGGCATGGCTTGTAGAAGGGTTTGGAATGTATATGCCGACACTGTTTTGTTTTGGTGTTGTGCAATCTCTGCCTCTCATGGAGGACGGCGCAAAGTGGTCCGATTCTGAATATCACTGGCAGGAAGTGCCCCTGGAGACCAGAATACAACAGGCAGCTGAGTGGGCGAATCATCCCAAAACCGGACACTGGTATCGGAGAGTTGGCAGTACTCTGCTGAACTTGGGAAAACATATGAAGGCGCTGGAGTACTTCGAAAAGGCCCTCGCCGAGGACTCTAATATTGTAGAGAGCTGCGGTCGGATGGGCTTGTGTCACTTTCTGAATGGCAACTACGAGAAGGCCCTTAAGCTTCATCTGATGTGCGAGGTTGTCGAGCAGGATCGTATGGCAAAGGGCCACTACAAGACGGACCGGAAGCTCAAGGGCGCGAAATGGCGACTCTACAAGAACCAAGCTCAAATTGCTGAGTGTTACAATCGCATGAAGAGGGTCGAGAGCTCTTTGACGTACTGTCGTAAAGCGATGCGAAACGCCTACGAAGCCCCCGACTTTGAGCCAGAAGTGGCTTATATGAGGGTTCTGACTGAGAACAACCGAGTGACGGAGATGATGAGTCTGTTTGAGGAGCTGGACGGTCGATACACCGAAATGGGTAACTCCCGATTCGTGCTGTTTCTGTTGACTCAAATCCCAGACCAATCCATCAAGGAGTGGTTCCCCCAAGCAGCCGCTCGAACGGGCAAGACAGGTGTCCTCGCAGACCGTTACGTGAACGGCATTGAATCCGCACACGACGCCCAAGACTCCTGGAAAGAGTTCTACCTGCGAAACGCTTTGGGAAATGTCTACATGGCGGCGCAAGAATATGACAACGCAATTTCCATTCAGGAAAGCATCTGCTTCGTCGAGTACAAGGCAAGAGGCAGCTTGGCCGTGCGAGTTGAATACATTGCCTCCTTCAAACAGCTCGCCAGAGCGTACGCCCTCAAAGCGCTCGAGGTGGACCAGGTGCTGCGATCCGAAACTGTAGAGCCTTGGGTCAGGAAGCTTGAACAGCTCATGGAGCAGCAACGCAAGTATCAGAACAGCAACGTGCCATTGCACATGGCTGGCTTCGACTCTAATGAGGCTGCGGTCTTCCTGATCCTTCTCTACCGTTTACGGAACAGGGAAGCCGAATCACGTCAGCTTCTAAGTGGCATTGTATCCGACTGCCTCAAGCTCCTTGAAGACGATGAGCCGCAGAACGACGAGATCAGCATCCGCCACCTCCAGCGTACGCTCATCGCCGCCGGCGACAGGGTGAATGCTCAAGCTCTGTGGCAATCAACACGGATGCCACCTCTACACGCCAATCTCTCTGGTCACTTAACCACCGAGAGAAGGTCCAGCTCGCCGCGCATCGGAGGATTGTCTCCCAGGAGACGCGGCAAGCAAATCAGCCTGACCAAAGTCTTCTCAGAAGGTGATCCCCTTTCATGCAACCACTGTCTGGGGAGGTTCGACCCATCCGACAAGTTCGTTGTGTGCTGGTATTGCATCGACTTGAAGTTTTGTCTGCCCTGCCTCTCAGCCGTCAGGAGCCAGAACTTCACGCCGGGGCATACATCCGCCTGTAAACCCAGCCATGACTGGCTTATCGTACCACCTTTGTTGAAAGATCTACAACCGGGAGAGATCCTAGTTGATGGACAGATCCAAATACTGTCTGAATGGAAATCGGCATTGCGGCAGAAGTGGGTGCAATCAAAGTCTGTTACAGGTCTTGGGATTATTTGAGAGCCACTGTCAGTGGTCGGGGCTAGTTTATGAATGTGGATCACACATACTGTAGCTTATGCTGACATCTCGGCATAATGTCAGTAGTTACCCTCTGTGTATGTGAAATGAGTAACAAACTGATGTGTAACCGTGCTCTAGAACCCATACTTGACAACACACTCTAAGATACTCGAAGTTTGGCTTGAGCGGAATTCGGTGGTTCATAGACCATAGTACTGGGTAAAAGCTATATCCAATATAAATAACAAAATACCCCTTACAACACGGATCAAAGAAGTGAAAGTTGTGACATTGGGACCATCCCTTCTAGTCAGAGTTTACGGCGTTAAAAATATGATTATGTCTTTGATTTTGATTAATATTCTTTACTGACTTTATCTTTGCTATCTTTAATACTCAGAACTCTACTCCGTATCACAAACGTGAAAGAGCCCTCGCTACCGTTCTTGCTTGGAGATTCCAGCGTTGTCATTTCCTCCAAGACTGCGCTGTTCCTTGAACGAGAACCAACACCAACCAGTTTCACATCAACACCTGTATTCACAAGTAACCCTGTAATCATTTTTGGTGGCTTGTGTTTTGGCGCCAACAAACGGAGCTCTAGGTCTTGAAGTGCTATCGTCTCTTTGCAGCGCCGTACGTCTCAATTGCGCCCTTGTCATCGAATTCATCTGATGCACCCTGGCACTGGCAGGGATTCTGACTAGTAATTTACTTGCCTTTCGGTAACAAGTCGCCGGAGCGCCCCACCAAAACTTGAGATAGTGTTCCGACTGTTGAGTTTGAGATAGCTTCTCCATCCGGCGGAGCGCTTGCTGCTAATATCTGGCATAATGTCTACCTTTCAAGTGTGCATGTGGCTTTTCCAATCGGCTTTGAACGGCGAACTTCTCGGAATACAGAACGCTGAGTCTCTCACCCTGGAACGTTGGCCCTCCATCCGCTCAGCATTGTCCCAGTCTACAGAGGCCGGACGCACTTCAGAAGTAGGCAACTGGCAGGTTTCTCGAAGAGGGGTAATTTCGCGCTTACGGTTACCGTAAATCCCTGTGCTCTCTTGTGTCGAGTATCTGGCACGATATCCATGATGTATTTCCTTCATTTTTGTGCTGTCGTGTACCTGCATAGGCTTATGAGCGTCCGACTTGACTACTTTTCTCGGTTACCACGACTCGCATGAAGACAGCCGAGGACAACTCGATGATAACTTGACTTCCTTAGCTACCGATACCGTCAAGTGGTGGGCTTGCTTCAAAGGTAATAATCTTTTGAGGTGCAAGCGAGTGGCAAAAACATGGGGTTAGCGCCGTAGCCGTTCGTGGTCAAACGTGATCGGAAGCATGGTCGCCTGCCCAAGGTAGGTAAATACTAGGACTAACGGCCCGGGGCAATAGCCTCTGATGAGCCAGCAGTAGTCGCATTGATAGATTGCTTGGCATCGAACTTGATCGCGCGCCAAGCTGCACGCCAAGCTGTATAACCTGCAAGCAGTTATGAGGGCGAAGCTTATTTCGAGCAAGTCAGATCTATCAATTTTGCTAGAGGGTTTAGCCAGGTCGATCACTATTCTGCGAGTTTGAATTACTGTGGAGGTCATGTCTTCATATGCGGGCTGCGTACAACACTTTGTAGAGGTTGAAACAGCGTGTGGAGGACGTTGCCAGCACCTGAATGGTGATGACATCGAACATGTTATGTATGTACAGAAGTATGAATGCTATCTATGTATATCAGCTTGATCTCAAGGCGGATCAAGCGAGGGGGGTGAAAAAGTTTTGTGTTGAAAATTGCAGGGTCAATCCTTCCAGCCCGAAGCCCAAACCGGTTTTACGATCACCCAGCGATCATCCCTGCCAGCTTTGAGTGGTAATAATTCGGGTTGACCAGCCATCAAACCGTGCGTTCGTCTGACATCAAGATAGAACCGCTCGCTTAGGAGACGGTGATGCTGGCGGAGCCGGCGGACTTGTAGCCCTCAGTGGCCATGATCATGTAGTCGTGGGTGCCGAGGTTCATGCCGGCCTTCTTCCAAGCATCGAAGAACGTCTGGGTGTTAACACTGCCGGAGCTGCGCTTGTTCTCGCGGACGGCCCAGTACTGCTGGAAGGTCTTGGTGCCGTCGATGGAGGGAGCATTGACACGGGTGGCCTGGTAGAGCTTGTAGACGGAGCCATCGGCGGTGACCTGGCCCTTGAGGGTACCAGCGCTGCCGGGGTTGTAACCGCCGTGGTTCTCGACAATGTAGTACTCAATAAGCTGGGACAAACGACATTAGGACGATGGACGAATGCGGACTCGTTGTGCAGAGCGTCGACTTACAGGGTTTCTGGTCCAGCCGTAGACAGTCAGGTAGGCGTTTCCGTTGTTGACGGGAGAAAAGTTGCCGGAGTACTTGATAGTCCGGGCACCACCAGTCTTCCAGCCCTTTCCGCCGACGAAGTTACCGCCGGACTGCCACTGGACGCTATAAGAGCCGCCAGCACCGTTTGTGTATGTGACGGGAGAGGCGCCATCGGTCCACCAGCTGTAGTAGTAGCCGTTGTTGGTTCCGGTGCTACATACATCGGGTTAGCCACGCAGGTCCTTTTATTCCTTCCCGCCGGCTTGTTTTGTCGGCACACGGGGTAATGTTTACCTGGAGGGAGTAGACGCGCGCTTGATGAGGTCGGTGGTCATGGGCGGCTCAGCAGCAGGGGCGGCAAGAGCGCCGACGGCCGCCAAGGTGGCAGTGAAGAGAGAAGTGAACGAACGCATTTTGGTTTGAAGAGCAGGTGAAATGATTGTATAAGGTATGTAGCTGGAATGGAACAAGATTTGCCAGATGGATCGAGAGTGATAGACAAGAATTCTAGAATGTAGGGCGGACGATCCCGTACTTTATAACTCAAGTTTACAGAGTACCAAATGCTTCTTCCCATCTTGTTCGGATCCTGTCGTTTCTCTACCTAGGCCAGATGATGTGGCGCTGTCATGGGGCTGCCTCACCTAGAACAATGGCCTCGACTGGGCCGAAATCAGGTCGACCCACGTTGGGGCGGTATTTTGGCAAGGAGAGAGGCGTGGTACGAGCTGTGTGACGCTTTCGGATGATAATTTCTTGTGGTCCTTTTTTTCTGGATGGTGGGCGTCTCACGGAGAATGGCAATGATGACCGGGTGAGTAAATGAGCAGCCGAAGAGATCCATTGTTCCGCCAATGAACGATATGTCGTGTAGGGTGTAAATGAAGCTTTCTGGCACGATCCTTGCAACCTCATGTGTGCACTCCACATTGTGCGTCAGGGGCTGCAGCGACGGTACCGCTCCTGGGCAAGTCAAGCCCACTGGTTGAACACGCAGTTAACATGACTCTTGGTGCGACCATGACGCCGGCGAGGCAAGCCAAGCCATTCCCTATGAGCTTTTCTAGGTCGCATCAATATATTTCCTACACGAGCGGCCGGCATGGAGCTCCCGGGAACCGACAAACAACCGTTTACATGGATTATACATAGCAATAGTGCGTTGGAATAAGTAAAGGGGCGGGGGCTAGAACATTATGCTTAGAGAGACTACCTACACTATGTCTGTGTGTGGCCGGGGGTGTGTGTGTAATGTGATCACCGGGCTAGCGTGGGGGGTTAAGGCTATCCTGGCTAATCCGGAATAATAAATGATTTGCTTTGTTGTAAATTAGCCGTCGAGTAAGGGACCTTCGCAAGGAGATCGCTACCAGTCGGCCGAGAGGAACGGAACGGAGCCTTCGGGTTTTGTCAGCTCCAATTTTCGGAAAGAAATGAACCGACGTCGTCAAGGAGCTGTAGGTATGTCAGCTCTTGCACTATTCCTATTTCTCCATCTCACATAGGAACCATCTCCATCCTCCATTGTCATCACCCACGTTCATGATTTAGCGAATGGGTACGGATAGTGGGCATAGTATATATTAAGGGGCAACCAATGGCGGGTTGTTTGTACGTCATGGACCTCTCCCCTTCTTCTCAACTCTCATCTGGCCCATCGTTCAGGTCCGGCAATATCGTAAAGGTGGAATATCCTTTCATACCCGCCTGCTGTAATAGGCTCTTGGCATTCATGCTGGTGAGTCGCCCGCATCAATCGCGGCCGTTCGGCTTGTCCGTTCGTGGGCATTCCTTTTATGAGGCAAACAACTTAGCGAAGGAGCTTGATTAAGGGGAAAGACTTTAAAACACCGGCACTTGTATGTACGTAATACCTATCGTGTCGAGCATCAGACGAGATACGGGATCTCCTTGGCTACGTATCTCAGCATGTACGTACGATCCTGATTGATTAATGATTGCCTACTTCTACATTTCTCTACTAGATCGACTCAGCTCGTTCAATGTCGCCACCCTTAGCAGTACCACATGGTCCTACATTTATTCACTTAAGATCGCGGGCCAAGAAATTCAATACATTAATGCCGCGTTGGATGCGCGGTGTGCCTGCCCAGCTTTGATCGGGCTAAAAAGGGCGTAATGTCAAGGACCTACACATCCGCCAGTCTCCCCACTCGCATTTACCCTTTAAACCAATGCCTCACGGAACACAATTGTGAAGTTGTCCTCTCTTTCAAATCCAAGCAGAGTCGCCTCAGAGCTCATCATGAGTTGCCACCTCCTCGTTACTTGTTTCCACACCCAAGTCCTCGTCTTTTGTGCCTATCTCAACAGGGTCCCAGAGCGAGGGGCTGGTATTGCCATCCTTGAAGGATCGAAGAGAGTTCTCAACCATGCTGGGAGTGATGTAGTCGTTTTTCTCCGAGGGAAACACTAGGCCTCTGCTTTTGTCCTGTAAGGCTATTGCGGGAAAATTCCACTTCAGACCTATATTCGCCGGAACTTCCGGGAAGGCCACGGGGTCGACGGTAACAAACTCAAGGTCCTTGATGTGTTTCCTAACCGTTTCTCGCAGACTTGACGAAAATCTCTCGCGGTCGTCGGAGTGAGAACCGAAGTAGTACAAAACGTTTCCTGTGCCCTGCATTCCGACCCGGTTGTGTCAGCATTTACAAATCATGCAGTTCCTCGGATCAACGATCCGTCGATGACGGGACCAGCTGTAGCTACGCACCTCCGTAAAGTACTTTTTGTTTTCACGCGTCATCTCTGGAATCATGCGGCTGGTGCATATCTCAAAGAAGCCCTTTAACGAGTTGAAGTCGTCAACAAGGTTCTGAGTCGACCTTTGTACCTCATCCGGACTATTGTAGCATTCGAGAGTAGAAGCTCCGCCTTGTTCCTTTGCCGGGACAACACCAAAAGAGTAACGGTCTCTAAACATCGTTGCCAAATCGTGGAAGCGCTTATAGAGGCCCTTGCCCGCGTCTGCGTCCGTCAGGTGGAGGATGAAGACGTAGTCGTCGGTCGAGCTGAAATCGGTAACATTTTCTGCCCCAAGACCGGAGACTGCTGGTCGTAGAGAGCGCTTCACGAACGCTTTTATTCTGCACCAACATCAGTTTCTTCTTGCGGAGACTCGTTGCGATATCGACGACTTACTTGCTGGCGAGTCGAGGCCCTCTGTAATGTTCATACACTTCACCCCCTGAGCGATACAATCTGATTGCAGGGAAAGACCGCACGTCTTGTTTTTCGCAGAAGTCCGCCTCAGTGTTACAGTCAATGCTTATATGGGAACCATCTGCGTCAGCTACTGTAGGCCATTCTGCGTCGAGTAGCTGGCTTTGATCACTGGCTATTCGTCAATGGCTTGTTTGCAACAAACGCATGCGATAATCACTTACTTTGACTGGTGACCTCCATCCATTTAGTCATGTTCTTAACAATGTCAAGGTCTAAGACTAATGAAGGGAAACTTACTCCAATAACTGCGCAATCAACCGTTAGAAATTGTACACATGATCTTCAAGAGGACGTCCCAGCCGAGTCACTTACAAGCAACGAGTGTGTAGTCTTGATTGCTCAGAAGCTCTTGTAGCTCTGTCCCACTAACATGGCTCCAACCCCACATAGGGACAGAAAACAATCCGAGAAGAACAATTTGAATCCAGAGACTCATGGTGATAATAGCGCCTTGCTTCTAATTCTGAACGTGTCTGGCAAAAGATACTTTGACGGCTGCGATAAGTGGCAACCAGGCCATGAACCGCTGGAAGTGATCGAAGTACGGGATGGTCAGCACCAAGCTGATGGTTTCCCTTCTTAATACGCATATTTGGAGAGTATTGTACAACCCGTGATTAGAGGGGTTGACAGCGACCCAATTGCCAATCGATAAGTGGCCAAACAGCGTATGCCTGCACGATTGTGTATTAGTGTCAGAAATACGCGATGTTACACGAAGGCTGCATCGACCATCCCACAAATATGCATGTGGATGCTTGGAGGAGTCAGGGGCTTCCTCCGTGGCTTTGAAGAGATATTACTGCGGAGGGCGGCTCCGTGCTAGATTGGGATAACTTCTCAACCGTCTCTGAGCGTTTCTTTTCTTATGCACCCTAGTGAAAGCCGTAGTAATGCAACCATTAGCTGTTAATACATGTGTTCATTGGACCTTCGAAGGGTATGAACTAGCTTTCACTTTCTTTTGGACTGCTAGACTTGCTATATCCTCTACCAATTACAGCGGAGTACTCCTCTACCTGGGCTCAGATCTCACACCGCATCCATATTTTTTGAATTCCACTATTAATGATAGTTAGTGACTAGATTGTTACACTGTCCCAAGTGACATGTGCCGCTTCAATATTCTTTTTGAATACGTCCTTCTCCTAATTGGTGGCTTCAACAGGGCTGTATCAGTTAGATGGTGAGGGGTATCATTGATGGCGTTGAATGTTTGTGGCCGTGCCCCAATTGGAACGGGCGCCAAGAAAGCGGATATTGGACGTCCGGGTAAATGAAAGGGATGAAATTGCCGCAGGCCGTCACGGGTCTTTGGTGTTTTTGAGGGCAGAACATACTGCGCAGGGACAAATATTTCAACGCTTCCGCGTTTTGACAAAGCGGGGGTTTCTTTTTATGAAGCGATGAAGCAAAGGTGACCTCAAAATCCATCAAGTCATGCGGTTGAGCCTATTTGCAGCAGTTTTCGCCTTTGGAGCCGCTGCATACGGTTCCAGCAGCGATGATGATCTTGATGATTATGTGTGTGAACATTCTAATTACAAGATTCACTTGTTTTCCCATTCTCCTCTGGTTATCTATATCAATGACTTTGTGACACCGTTTGAGAGCCGTCATCTCCAGAAAATCACGTAAGTATTGATGCAATCCGCAGCATTTTCCTATAACATGGTAAGCACGAGCGCAACGGGATAGGCGCTGACTCCGTCATAGAAACGGCACATTTGCTCGTTCCAATGTTAGCTCTCACGAAGGCGATATAGTTTCATCCCATCGTACGTCGCATTCGACAACTGTCACGCCAGATGCGGTAACACAGTGCATCCAAGAACGTGCCCGGCAATTCCAGGGCCTAGATATGCCGCAAACATATCTCGAGCCGATACAGTTGGTCAAATACGGGCTGGGTCAGCAGTACCACTCCCACATGGACTGGTTCCCGGGCGACCTTGGCCAGCACAGATCGGTGGCCGAAGGGGGAAATCGTGTAAGCAGCTTTTTCACTTACATCAAGGCTAGCGATGATATCGTTGGAGGCGGGACAAACTTTCCACGCCTTCGGGCGCCTGCTGGAAAGCAATGGTGCAAGGTTGTGGCATGTGACGAACCGTGGGAGGCGGGAGTCACGTTCCGGCCTGTGGAGGGCAATGCGATTTTCTGGACAAATCTGCTCGACGGCGGAGAAGGTGATGAAAGAGTGTTGCATGCTGGTCTTCCGGTAGAAAGAGGAGTCAAGCTCGGCATGAATATATGGACAAGACAAGGGCCATTTATGTAGTTGAGAGCTCGCGAGATTCGATCCATGTATGCCTAGCTGTCCCAGCAGCTCCATTGCTGGAGCCTCTCTGGCCTTAGGTATAACTACAATTGAGCCAGACATAACTGAGAATGTCACTTGTATTGCCCGCAAGCATCCGAGGCGGTCGTCGATCGGGCCGTGAAAACAATGGGGCGAACAGCCGGCATGTCCGATGACCAAGGCGTGATGCAAACTCGGCGAGACTGACTCGGCATTCTTGACATCAACAAGGTATTTTATGTTCGTCTATATGAGTCAAAGGCACGAAATAGAAGAGCAAGCTCACTACTCTCGGATGAGGATGGGGCAATACTTGCAGACCCGGAATATCGCACTGAAGCATCGAGTACCTTCTCGATGACCAGACTGAGAAAAAACAGAAATACTGCAAGTTTCATCGAAAGCTACTTTCTTGTCAACAACGGCGGTTAAAAGCAAAATGCCTACAGGTGCCCGTAGTCATGATCTTTGATTTCTCAAGTATTGAATTGTTTTCGCTTAAGCCCTGCCACATCACGCACCGGCTTCCTTCAGAGCCGCCTGCCCCTGGTTTATGATAGCATCCGTCATCTCGGCAGTCAACCCCGGCAACGGGTTCCTCTGGCCCTTGGCATTTAGCGACCCGGGCGCCTGCTTGTCACTGAAATCGATTGAAGTAACAATCTCAGCCGCATCCGAGTCCGTCAACCCGGTCGTCGGGTTTTCTTTATTGTCACCTATTGCCTCCGTCCGAAGCCCGGTATCTGATGCAGGGGCTGCGGCCTCCCTCGGCTCTGCCACCAAGCTTCTCTTTCCTGTGTTCGCCACCACTTCATCTCGTACGGCTACAGTTTTGGCGCGGGAGAAGGTCATGTCATCGATCAGTGAAGGGGCTTCGGCGCCCTTGAACTCGACTTTCCGGTTGGTCAGGTCTGTTGGTTGACGAGCTACAAGGTTGCTAAAAGCAGGCTAATGGTTGAAGCATTAGAGGAGTTGCCCGCAAACGAGGAACCCAGCAGCATCGAAACTTACCAACGCTGATGCACCACCTGACAAGGCGAGAGCGACGGTTGAAACCTTCATTTTCTTTCTGTGGTGCGAAGGGTGTGTCAAGTGAACAAGATATTCAGGATTTGCAGGTTGAAATGACTGTCAATTGCGTGCGTAAATCTAACCAGGAGCTTGCAAAAGGGAGTGTGGATGTTTGACACCGGACAGCTGGTTTACCAGGTGTATAGAACGGTAGGACCTACAACCAAAGAGAACGAGACAAATGCAGGTAGAAGCATTGAAATGTCTAAACGGGCAGGTTCTCTGATCCGAACTAAATAGTGATTCGTATGCCATCTTATGTCCACGAATCTCAAGCACATCCGAAGTTTTGAGTACGGACCAATGCCCATGTACATCTGGGCACCAGTATCACCTGTGTGGAGAAGGGGGTTGGAGTCTCAACCACGCATCCTTGGCGCGGATCTGGGCGCAATGGGGCGAATCGTCAGACAGAAAGGCCCGCCTCCACGGACGATGCAGGGGTAATGCTGTACATTCAAAACTATGGCGAATCAACTGCCAGGCTGAGGCAGCTCAGGGGTCGTTGGAACGGTGGGGGATTTCTAGGAACATTCCACAGGTGGGAAGCCATCAGACGTTGGCGTATTCAGGCTTCGTTACCGTACCTAGTGAGTTGTTGGCGTGGCTCGTGATGGGCTGGAGTTGAGTACAATGCTGTTTCGCTGGGTGACATCAAAGCGGCAGCCTTTGCGGGGCTACGGCCGAATTGAGACTTCCGCACTGCTGCATCTAAACATCGGCATTCGATTCGAGGCCGAGTCCGCGGGCACAACCATTTCCTGGGGTTGGATGATGGGGTCAATTTGTCAAACTGCGCGGGCGGCTTGAAACAGGAAAGCCCAACTCATCCCGTGATGAGCATATGCCCGAATGCATCAATCTTCTGGATTGCAGGGCACACCCTGAGGGAAGAAAACACATCAACGGCAATGTGCGCTTGTAAACTACTCCAGAGCCTGAACATAACAGGCTGGTTTCCCCTATCTGGCATGGGGCTGTGCTTCGAGATGGAGATGGAGGCGGTCGAGTTATGGTTCGGCGAATTGATCACTTCGGTTGAAAAGCAAAAGCAAAAGGAAACTCTAAACTGCCATGTGTAGAGATGAAACGAAGAGATTCAGATCGAGAGACTGATTACAGACCTCAGGTTGTCCGCGCCAACGGTGTACTCAGCCCGGAGCTGTATGTAGATTACCTAGGTGCCCAAGGGATCAGATGAAGTGGCCCAGTCCCCCCTAACATCGGCTTGTGGTCCATTCACCGGTGTCTCGTCGCATCCCCAGTGACAATCTAGCTCGACCACGGGCATGCCACGTTGAAAACCCCTCCCCAGTTTGCGTGACCGTAGGGATTGGAACTGCCTGATTGTTGTCGCAGCAAGTTTGTGATTTGGCCTAGTCCCGCACCAAGGACCCAAGAAGAAACATAGGCCGGTAACGTCATGCGGTAACAGTCGTAACCCCTCAGTCACATTCTCGGACCTCATGGGTAATCCGGCACAGGGCACTATATGTGTAACCGAGTATCCGTACAGCCTATACCATAACCAATTACCAGACGTGGGGCCCGGGAATTGGGGGCCGTTCCTAGAGGCCAGCCTTGCTTTGGACCAACGAACGCCACAGAATATTCTGACCATGGCCACGAGCGGAAGGCAGCACAACTTCCTCGAGTGGCTAGTGTCTCGAAGTCAGGTCAACTCATTTTAGAGTAAAAGACGTTGATTCATCTCGGTACCTATCGCGAACATCCAATTCCCGTCCGCTCATACGAGTCGTTCACGCTGTCGAAAGTCGAAAGTCGAAAGTTAAAGACCGACTCCGTCAACTAATGTAGTTCAGTCGCAGAACGATGCTATTCCGACAGGAAAACGCGTCTCAGTCATAACACGCAAACAATAGCTCGTGATTTTGGCAGGCAGGCTTGAAGACCAAAGCTCCAAGAGCAACCTAACTGTTGGTTTCACCAGGATGGTGATACGGTTAACCGTACGTATCGGTGGCAATTGACGAATAATAGGGGTAACTGGTGGTTCAGAATTATGCGTAAAGAGAAGGGAAACTATCGTGGGATTGCCGGTGAATTAGCCGTAGCTATTCGAGCCATCAGCGTTAATTCATAACGCCAATAGTTAGGCGATGGTCAACATCGCAACACTAACCTTTAACACTCACAGCCTAGGTAGCTTTTGCGTTTCCCAAATCTTCCCCTGCCTTCTAATTTCCGGGAACAGGAGCGGCGACCTGAATCCCAGGATTGAAAGGCCCCCGGTCTTAGTATTATTCCCAGGAGCTGGAGTCGCAGGTCTTTCTTATTCCTAGCGCTGGCCTCTCCAACAGCAGAACAAAGCACAAAGCCTCAGTGGTCTGGATAAATTTAGAGCCTGCCCGCCTAGTCAGCTAGCTCACTAACAATATTTCCCTACGCCCCTTTCAACTCAACTGCCTGATCAGTTGTTTCTATCAACTTACATCTACCAACAGTAAGTAGCAAATACCCTCTCAAAATCACGGCAAAAAGCTCACAGTATAGATAGAAGCATAGGGAATAAGAAAAACCATGTCAGACCATTCGGAACAGTTCGTGGCATCTATTGCATCCGCGCTCAATTCTTGTCAGATCCCCTGCGTTCTCTGGGGCCACTGCCTGCTTAGAGTCCATGGCATACCTTCGATTGTCGCGGTAAGCGCCCATATACCGTGAACACACCGGATCCTTTAAGCTTACTTGGCAGAAGGCGGTCGACTATGTCGTTCCGGACCATCTTCTAACAGCTAGCGAAAAGGCTCTGAAAGTCCTACCCAGGCTCAGCCCATGTCCCAGCCCGAAAACATGCCTCGCCAGCTCCCCAGACCGACCCACGCCACCGCCAGCATTCCACCTTCACATCACCAACTCGGAGCTCACCGTCGGCCTGTACCGACAGTCAGAGACGCTGTGGTTCTTGCCGACTCTCAACGACTCCCTCGTCCGCCCAGATGCGTCCAAGCTCCCGCCGCCGTTCCTCCTCGCCCAGACCAGTCCTCCCTCCCACAATGGCGCCCCGGCCGCGCCTCCAGGCGTTTTCAAGTCGGGCGAGCAGCCGGTGGTCGTCCCCAAGGCTCACGTACTCCTCGAGGCCTTCCTGCGCATCTACCTGCGCGACGCGGGGAGGCACATCGGCGCCTTCGCTATGTCCATGATCGGCTACGTAGAGATGTACGTTGATGAGGACGGGCTGCTGGACGTCGACGAGCTCCCAGAGCCGCTGAGGTCCTCCTACGCCGAGCTGAAGCTCGGGGAGAAGCCGCTGCGTCAATGGCGGACGGACCTGACGCGGGCTCTCCAGATGTCCGAGGACGAGGACGGCTGGTAGTTTCTGCGCTGGTTCGTGGGACATGATGCGAATGTGTGGACTTGAATACGTGCATTTCGGGTGCAAATACATCCCAGATAGCCCTCAGCAGTAACACCTTCAAGTTTAAATGCTAATGGGCATAACGAGTAAAATGGACTTAATATTAATGAATACTATGCTGTACGGGCATATTCTTGATAACAGCATGTTCAAGCCATTGGCAATTACCGATTAACTTTGAAACCATGATGTTGCTCTCTTACCAGGCAAAATGGGAGCTGTATAGTATGGCGTCGGGACGAATAGCAACAAACAATATATTCATGCACTGTTGTTATTATTGTGGAAGAGAGGAACACCCTCGTCTCACCGGGAAACCCGCAACCCTGGCCTAGACGGCATAGATACATGGATCCTGCATATAGGCCGCCTGCAAAAGTAGCTAGACATGCTGGCCCTTGAGACACAGCCCAGCTAGCAGAGCAGAGAAAGAGAGGAGGTGGCTGGGGTGGACATGTGGGAGGGAATGGGACAGTGAGGTGTGTTAACGGTTGTAAAGATGAGGATGAGAGAGATGGTGATGTAATTATGAGAGATGATATGATGGGATAAAATTTGGAAGGTTTTGTTATGAGAGGCCGCCTAACGGTCGGCACTAGTAACAAGTATTGGCGAGTTCTTGAGTTATGCCCAGCTAACTCCCCGGATCGCACAACCTTACGGCGGCGTGCGATTCGGCCACACCTGAACGACGAAGTGGCACACACACTTCGAAGCTGCGCCATATCGTCATTCCCGTCAAGTCACTGGAACGCAAAAGCCGTTGCCGACTCACTCAATGGAGGGACGTAAGTAGTACTGATCTTTAAAGACATCCGAAATACACCACGCGAGGCATAACAGAAAGCACGCTGTGTGAGGGGCCGCAAACGGGCAGATCATTCAGCCTAACGGCTTGTTGGCGTTCTTGGACGTTTCGTTTGCGACCAGTTCCAACTTTCCACGCAGAGATCTTCAAATAAACAGATCAACAGCAACCATGTCGTTTTTACTCCATCTTCAGAGATTCTTGGAGTCCCTGCCTTTGCAGGTCCTCCAGATTTCTATAGCTGCGCGTGTTTTGCTGCCCAAGAACAGCTCGCTCAAGGTCCACCGCACTCTGGTAGCTAGAACAAAAAACCCTTTCAGAGACATTCGGGCCGCACTCCATACCGAATGTCTGAGCATGGTTCACATTCTTCTTCTTTTTCCCAGTTCGTACTTTAGTGCATGGAAGCATGGTACGCTATATGCCTAGTATACGACAATTGCATTCCAAGTGGCTTGAATTCAACGGGCTACGAGCCATCCCTAAATATCTCCTTCAAGCATAGCGCATTTCTCTTGACTGGAAATGTGCCCAATGGCGAATGAAGTGATCATGTGATAGACTAAGTTCAGGATGGCTCTGACCAGGAATGGGGAATGACGCGTGTGATCAGCGGGATCGTCCCTTCGTGAACCTGTCTCACTTGACCACTTGTGTACGTCCGCTTACAGCAGAACAAACGCAGATTGATATTGGCCCTTCTGTGTACCGCTGAGAAACACGAAATACGGCATGGCGCATTATTACTCATGGCAACTTTGGTATTGAATATGCCAAGTTTCCAAAGGGAGATCGCATACTTATATAAGTTGTGAGTGTTTCTCGGGACGGCAAACATATCTGCACCAAAACACTTTAACGGGCCATCAAAAGTTGGTGTTCAATTTCATAAGCCCATCTCACAGTGGCATATCTCGCCATGAAACTTTCGTATAACATCGTTATATATGCGATGGCGATGTAAGAAAGAAAACAACTCTCTGATTCAAGACTTGACGCTAAAAGGTTTTTTAGTTATGCCGCTGCTCAAGACGGCGGCCCGCCATGCCAAACAGTCACTACAACCGGAGGCATTTGTTCCACATTCTTCCAGCCAGCTTGCCTTGCTTTATCTACCATTCATAACCGCTGCGGGTGCCCGTCCGTGGTGCCGACAACGACAGTCAACTACCCCTGTGACGGACCGCGACCTACCGGCTGTATGGGCACATCGTATATTTACGAGACAGCGACTCCGACTTGCGACGTACCCGTGATCCTCACACCGACTTCCTCGATTAACATAACCATAATACCCATTATACCGACTCCTGTGGTGCCACAGGCTTGTCCTACTGTCTTCACAAAGAAGACAGTGTGTTCGACATGCATCAACCCCCTGTGCGTGAGGTACTCTACGATCTCTCGGCTATGTCATTGTCCGACACTAGTTCCTACCTTCACTCAAGCTTTCCCATGCGGCGGACAATGTCCTGGTGGCTGTGGGGATACCGTATATATTGAAGCCACGCAAACACCCATCTGTAGCTCGTCAGCTTGAGAAGCCTTTGATCTGATTGGAGACGCTCGACGTTCAAAGTGGTGATGGTTTGCGGAGATTTCCATCAGCAGTTTGTATGTTGTTCAGTTCAATCGCTGTTGTAGGTGCTTGACCGGGTGTTGATTATGATGAACCACGAGAGCATACGTCGCAATTTATAATACACTTCGGAGTCACTTGAAATTGAAAGCGATGCTCAGTATGCTGTTATTCTAAATTCAAACTTAGTAGTTGATGCGTTTTAATATTATTGACTAACTGAACACTTTTTACAAAAGAATAAAACCGAGATCATGCTCAACTATCTGGCCACCTCCCCGTTAACTACATGGCTAAAGACGCATCACGCGAGACATGCGGCGAAACTTCTGAGGTACAGTTTCCGGCCCAACGCTGGTAAGAGTCGGAACGACTGGGTTGATCAGGCCCGTATCAGGGTCGAAAGTGACATGGTCGATAGTAGTCTCACGTCTGTAACCGCCACCACCAGGAATGGCAAAGCGATGATAGACAATGTACCAACTATCGGTGCCAGGAACATTGAACATAGAGTTATGCCCTGTTCCCAGTATTCCCTGTGATGGATCCTTCTGCAGGATTACACCGTGGTACGTCCAAGGTCCAGTGGCAGAATTGGACGTGGCATAACCAACACGATAGTTCTCTGAACCGGTATCATCAATGGAATAAGTGAGGTGGTAGAGGCCGTCGCGGTAAACTATAAAGAGACCCTCACGGAAGTCGACCAGACCGCTCATGGCCTGGACGGTATTCCATTTAACGGAGACCAGGTCGTCGTTCAATTCTGCCAGAAGAGGGCGACCGTTGCCCCAGTAAATGTAGTACTTTCCTGACACAGGGTCATGGAAAGCCACAGGGTCGATAGCTTGAGACGAAGTAATGGCTTCGTTGTTCAATATCATGGCCTCGGGCTCAGCCGTGAAAGGGCCTTCTGGAGTGTCAGCCACCGCGACCCCAATGGTCTTCGTGTTCAGAGCCGCGTTCTGTCCACTGAAGTAGAAGTAGTATTTGCCATTACGTTCGGTAATGGTGGGCGCCCACGCGTTACCGACGGCCCAGGGAACGTTGCCGTTGGCTCCGTCGAGAGTCAGAAAAGGCTTCTCACTACGGGTCCAATTGACGAGATCAGTAGACTTCCATGAATAGAAAGTGTTTCCGCCCCATCCTGGAACGCCATCGGTGGTCGCGTAGATGTAATAGACTCCGTTGAATACCGCCGCGTTGGGGTCGGCGTAGAGACCGGGTAGAACAGGGCTACCCATCTCAACAGCGCTGATGGTCCACTCTGCAACATCCTCGTCGCCCTTCTTCAAGACGTACTTGACCTCAGCACTAAGGTCGACGATCGTGCCGGAAGCCGGGGAAGCAGTTACGCCATCAGCGGTGACGAAGGTCGGTGCAAGGGCAGTCACATCGGTGCCAGGCTTGACCGGGAATAAGACTTTGCTGTTAGTGGTGTTGATGATAGCTGGAACACGGAGAGCAGACGCATCGGCAAGAGTCACTCCTGTGATGGCTCCGATGTTTCCAGACCGAGAAAGAACCTCGGCCGCCGTCATGGATCTATTGAAAATGGCAAACTCGCGTATCTGTCCCTTGAATAGGTTGTCGCTGGAGTAGTCAGACTTGCCAATGTAGTTGGCTGTTGTCACGCCGTTGCCGATATCCTTGGGGTCGATGTTCACATCCTCGTTGCGAGCCATCTCGTAGCCATCCAAGTAAATGACGGATGTACGTCCCGAGATTGTATAAACCAAGTGCATCCAGGTACCCTGGGGCAGGGAAGAGCTGGAAGCTGCAGTCTGCTCGGTCGTGTAGTCGCCGGTAGCAATGCTTGCTCTGTAGGGGCTTCCGGTAGTAAAAAGGTAGCCATTGCCGCTGCCGGACACAGTATTGCCGATACCGTAAATAAAGTAGGGAGTCTGCTGGGAGGCATCAAGAAAGACCCGAGCCTCGATTGCAATGTCCTCAACACCGGAGATAATGTTGTCAGGAAGCTGAACGAAGTCGTCGATGCCGTCGAAGTTGAGTGCGCCGTCAATTACACTGGCGCCACCGTTGATCACAGCGTCGTTCCCGTTGCCTGAAGCATCCTGAACTTGTGTGCCCTCTGTTTTTGAAAAGTCATAACGAAGAATCTCGCCATCATCATTGACAGCTCTACGGGTCGGTGCGGTCTCTCTCAGAGAAGCAAGCTCGGCGGCAGTGACAGCAATGACAGTTCCGTGCCGTGGGCTAGACGGTAAATTGTATGAAGCAGAGATGGTCCACTGAGGGTTGCTAATATCAGCAGTTTCGAGTGGAATGTAACCGCGCCCCCCGTATTCGTCGACGAAGAGGTAAAACTTGTCGCCGTGAACATCGTTCTCGTTTGACTTGAACGATGTTGGGCCCTCGACGGCACTAGTTCCGGCTTTCTTGCCTATACATGAGTCGACGATTGTCCATGAATCAAGTGTGGCTCGAAGAGAAGCTGAACTCTCCTGAATTATGTCACTGCAGCCTGTGCCGCGAGCACCTTCGTCCTTGGTGAAGCGATAGTATGTGCCCCCGGACTTGATCACGGTCGAATCGATCCTCGACATGCCGGCATCTTGCCACACCGTGGTCTCGCTGAAGGTGACGAAGTCACGGGTCGTTGCGTAAAGCATGCGGTGGTAGGTGCTGCCAGTACGGTTCACGTCGCTGGCATCATAAAGCGAAGAAGCCCAGAACACCAAATAAGCACCAAGTTCGTCGTCGTAGTATGCTTCAGGGGCCCATGTGTTTCCGGCCTCTGGTGGAGAAACTAAGACGTGGCGCTGCTCAGACCAGGTCTTCAGGTCATGAGACTCCCAGACTTCAAGATAGCGGCTGCCGAAGCGTACGGAATCGCCCCAAGAAGTACCAGAACCGATGGACAGATCGGTGGCGATAACATAGAAAGTGTCCCCTTCCGGTGACCGAATGAGGAAAGGGTCTCGCAGCCCCTTCGTGCCGAATGAAGAGGTCAGAACTGGCTGGCCACCGTTCAACTCTGTCCACTCCAGTGCGTTGTTGCCTTCACTGGCGGCAAAGTATATCTTTTCGCCAGCGATCGAGTCTCCGGTGAAGTAGGAGAACGCATAGCCTTCGAAAGGGTCGAGTGATACAGCTCTGCGCACTGACGCGACGAACTCGCGTGCTTGAGAGACGCCTTCGTATTCGATGGATGCTGTAAGGGCTACTGGAGTGTCAACTGGCTGCCTCTTAACAACGCCATCACTGGAGATGACAGAAGAAGAGTTGCTCTCCCAGTTGATGATAAGCCCATCTGCAACGGTAGGCAGGTAGAGGTTGCCACGGACGTCGTCAAGGTTGATGACAGTGAGAGCGGCGAGAGCGGCTTCAACTCTCTGGGCGTTGCTGGTGTCTCCTTGGCCCCGCGCAACCGCCGCGAGGGCAAGTGCTGAGGAAAGCCAAAAGTTGAGAGATTGCATGACTAGGCGAGGCAGTAATTAACTACTAGCATACCACCCGTAGGCAGAAATGTTAGGATAATTACCATGCTTTATATGGGTGAGCATTTCTTTACCCCGACAAACACAGCTACTAGAGGATCTGCCACATGTCAATGGGACAACCAAAACAAGCGATCTGACGACTTGACTGCCCGTCTTGGGTTGTATCCAAATGGATATCGCACCCTCTTCTAGTTCCATCGCCGATCATTTCTCCTTGCCCCGACACAGGCTTTATGCCAGTAATGGATCATTCCCAGCTACCATTACGGACTAAGCGCGTCAGTAAACGCTTCAGCAAGGGAATTGGTTCGTGGTAACCGTTGCACCGAGGCCTAGTCAGACCTTGGGGAAGCCTTGCAAGCTACCCGGAATACCCTTGCCTCTCCGCACTTCTATTACCCCACACGCTTCCAAGAAAGCCGGTGATGAGGAGCATCCAGGCTGTCGATGGATTGATTGCGGGGAAATCGCAGCCGGTGGATAGGCTAACAGACGACGCACCCGACTCAAGCATCTCGAGTGCTTAGCACCCGCTTGTGGATGGGGAGACAGCCACGTCGATTGCTGGACCTTCATCTCTGAGTGAGGTGAATACCTTTGCCCCTGGTATTGATCATCAACGCTTCTGAAAGTCCCTCCCAACTGAGTTCACATGCCCGAAGTCGCCAGCAAGTGCACGGCGTCGCGCAAAGCACTGAGAGCTCGGCAATGAACCTGGGATGGTGGCAGTTTGAATAATACCCTGGACTGCGGCGGTAGACATCGTGGGTAACCTTCCGGATATGGCTAATATTGTCTGTCCACGTGCGGTCAGGGGTTTAAAGCGAGTAGCAACAAGAGGTCGTATTGGCCGGCAATAACTTGCTGGGCATCAAGAAATCAAAGCCGGAACTAGGCCTGGTCATTGGACGGTCGGTTCCTGCAATAAGCTAATGGTTGCTCCGCAGAAATGATGTACCGAAGTGAATCATGCGCTCGAATCAAATTGCAATATCCGTAGACCTTAACCGTTTAGGAAATCATGCACAAGCAGATCGATTCTAAGGACGCTCGGGCCGAGCCCTTTTTTAGCCGCAGCATTTTTCTTTTCCTCGTCGTCCGGATTGCTAGTCATTCAAAAGCATATGACCAATTCTTTCCACAAGCCATACCTGTTCATACTCTGGGGTGCGTTGACCACATAGAGACGTGGTTTCCTCCTGAGTCTGTATTTTTGAGCTTGGCACAAGTTGAGAGGCTCGGGAGGATAACACCAACTTGTGCAGAAGTGATATAGACGTTATTAGCTATACACAAATGAAGTAGCGGGAAAAAACAAAGGATGATCAGTTTAACAAGGGTTTAAAACGTTGCTTTTCAAGTTGCTAGGCATTTTTCGGCTGCGCTTAGTTGGTGATTTAAGCCGCCATGCCCTCGGCTGTCAATGCTTCTGAATTTGGTGTCGGGTTCCCCCTCTCTATTTGTGATGTAAAGACTAAGAGAAACAAACAACTATGAAAAGATATTCCCTGAAAACGATGCAATGCCCAATAAGATGATAGAAAACTGGCATACACGGATGCACAGCTCAAAATCTCCTCCTACGTAATAACAAGCCGCAGAAGGAAAAATGGCGGGTGCGAGTTTGTTACGTGGGCCACGTCTATCAAATGAGCAAAAATATGCGGTTCACTCTATACAGCTACGTCAAGCTTTCTATCGTCTAATCCGTTGCAACAACTGCCACTCTTCACTTTTCTGCAGAAAATATTGGAAGAATCATCGATATTCTACTTCGTAGAAAGAGAAGACCATGTATGTGCTAGTGTGATCGATTTCTCGTGCTTGACATGCGAACGTATTCCGTGCCGCAAATCAAGGGAGCCTTGCAAGAAGGCTTCCCAAAAGAAATTGATACTGGTCAGGATAGACTACTTTGACTAGGGGAAAGCGAAACTGTTTCGCATTCAACATAAAGTATGTACGTAGTGACTGAGGATTAACAACACGACAAAGCTTGTCCAAGAAACCATAGTCAATGCTTCTAATTACAAGCTTGTGGTTGGGCATGATATGAAGGACTATGGGTAATCACCAATGATGTTTATCCGGAACAGACTCCGGACTTGCTGGGCTCACAGCCACCCGCGCATCCGTTGTACATCTGGCACCTGACCCTGGCATCGGTGCATACGTTCCTGAGAGTGGCAGTATCACCATAGTTGGAATTAATACTAACAATCTCACCGCCACTGTATGCCGTAACTCCCTCTACGTAGACGTTGCGCTTACACTGGCTGCTGCACTGTTAAGATGGGGTCAGTTATATTATTCGCAACCCCGATGGCAGAATACAAAGTTACTAACGTTACCGCAAGAACGATATACCTTGCCATACTCCCTGGCGTAGAAGTTGATGATCTATTAATAGAGAAAATCAACGTGTCATTCGTCATCAAAGACCAAAAGTCCACTTACGTTCACGGTGCCACAACCGTTGTGCTGGACGATCTTGTCACCAGCTTTGTAAGCATCGCCTCCAACAATCCAAGCATGGTCACCAGCCCTGTCGTTCTTCTGCGTTGAAGGTCAACCATCTGCGCCGATAAAGGTATTATTCGAAAGATTACTCACAACCGAGATGGCATCTTCACAGACATCTTCGAACCAGACAAACTCAAGTGCACAAGGACCGTCACAATGAACACCCTCCTTCTGATTCTTACCAATGATGGCATTTCTCAGAGTGGCGCCTCGACGAAGCAGAAAGACAGCATCAGCCTGGCCTGAGAAGTTGAGTCATCAGCTAGAGGCCCTCTTGCCATTGAATCATGAAGGCCCTAAGGATTATCTCACCTCCTTCGCCACCGGTACAAGCACCAGACCCACGATCAAACCTAGCCCAACCTCCGTCGTAGACTTGACCGGCCTTTACCTCGATGTACTTGTTATTTGTCTTGGTGGATGTGGCAACGGGAACACCGCCCTCATATCCGAGACATGCGAGTGTGGTAGGTAAAGCCGCCAGAAAGGCCACTATGCTAGCCTTTAGGACGTATATAATAGCTCATTTATACACTGAATTTGGTTTTCAAGTCGATGTGTAGTTTGAGATGATGTCTGGTCTAAGATGAGGCACCTCATTAAGGGGAACTTTCATCTAAATAGACAATAGACAAAGGTGTATGCTCCATAATAATATCGGAAATTGCATTAGAAAGTGTACAACTCATATTTAAATATGAGAGGCCGGTCGATAATATTAGACCTCTGCTGGGATGCATAAACCATTGGTGGATTTAATGGGTGAACAATTGCTAGTACTTGAAGCCGTCAGAGCAGTCGCTTCGGGTTGCCAAGATCTAATCAGGATCCTGCCATGGCCTTATTCTTTTCTTTTGTGAAATGATCACATTATGTGATTGAAAGTGCCAAGAACGAGCTTGTGAACGGAGAAACTGCACATTCGCCTCACACCACTCCAAGTTCCCAGCCCCTCAAATACCTCCCAGTAACATGCTCCCTCAAGGCTGCTTTCCTGAAACGCATCATTGAGGTCATGCCGCGGGCCTGCCATCCTCTGGTGCTGAAGTTCTGGACGACCTACCACTCATAAATGATTTCTTACATGTCATGACGAGTGCCGCCTCTGGCTAGGCTTAGGCGTTTAAGCGGTTCGTGCAGCCAGCCCATCTGCATAAGTAGTTCATGATTATACGACCCTATCGTAACTAGGATTTCTCGACAACCTCGTCTAGATGATTGTAGTCCTTACGGCACATACGACATATACTCGCCTGCCTAAACTGTCTTTATCACACCATAGCATATAACACTCCTATCATTATTGACAAGTTTGAAAGAACACAACGACATAAAATGGCAACATGTGCTCGTGTGCGCCCTTAGACTTCTCTTCACTTTACGCGTACTCTAGTCCGCCCTTCTCGATATGGACTTACTTGACCTCGCAACTTTGCTCATCGCCTAGCGCTGGGTCCCCCCCCCCTCCACCCCCCCCCCCCCAAATACTTTATTATTGACCACGAAAGGGTCTGGGAAGAAGAGCCGAGCAACTACTATGTTCAGTTCAGCGGGGCCGAGGTCGTGGAGTTCTGGTGCCTATGAACCATTCTTCGGTTAATGCTGCGGCAGTGTGAAACCAATTCCCTTTCGTTCCACAGCTTTCTTGCCTCCCGGATTGCGCTGCGGTAGGCATGTGTTGAATCCAGAAAGATAAGCAGGCATGAACCACACAGACTGCTTAGAAGACTCTTGGATCACAATAAATGTTTATAAAGTTATCGCGCGTTTATGGCTATGGCATGAGGTCTTGTACTTGATCTTGATAACAAGAACAGAACTTACACGAGTCCGCAGTCATGCGTTAGGTTGAAGCGATGATTGACGTGCTGGATGTGCAAAAGGTCAGTTGACTTATTAAATTTACACGCTCAAACAGTCGCTCTGTTTATTATGATAAAAGACGAAGAGTCTCTTACAATATTTCACATTGAGCACAAACGACAGGTACCCCGGATTTCTTTTAGGGCTCTACCGAAATTGCGGCTCTTCTGGATCAACAAGAATCGCTGCTTCTTTTGTTTCGTTTGCCTTGCCTTTCCACTCATCAATGAGCTTGTCGATGGAGAAGCCCTCGGCTTGTTCGGGTCTTTCAGTGCTGATTAACGTGACATGCTGACCCGTTCAAGCTTTGCAATCATTGGCTAGATGTCGACTTTCTCGGTGGTTGATTGGAATACTATCTAGGGCTGTTCTAGTGCCGGTAAACTATTTTTAGATGAATGATGCTTATCGGAACAGTGAACAAAGAGGACCCCCGCTTGAGCCTGCAAAATGCTGAGGTTTATAGCTGCAGGTGTAGGGCAACGAGGAGGGTGACGTACGTTCGTTTTCCAACATGAAACAGCTTGGTGTATAGCCGCGGCTTAATATATGCCCAACTTGATACAAGCGAACATAACGAGTCATGTAGTTAAGCCACTCATGGAAGATAAAGATCAGGTGACACAGGCCATGCAATATACGCGTGACATATCTGTTCCATTAAGGCGCCTGCCTATCGCCTAGTTCCATCACGTCGGTCTCACCGTGCTCTACAATACTACCGACAACCAACGCGATGACGGTTACCAAATTTATCCGAGGCAATACACTGATAATCCCGGTGGGGTGTTGTAAGCCACGACGACGATCTCAGGAATAGCAACAGGTTATATCAGTAAAGTAAAATAATGTGTGCTGTAAGTAGGCAGCGTTGAAACCAATGTGTGTTAATGTCCGACACTTTGAAGGCTCAGATGGCCCAAGTCAATCCACCTGCACCAGTTTCCCGCTCCATATTATCCAGACAATGCACCATGCACTTGGCCGCTTGTTGACGAGTGATTCTCCTTTCGTATTCTTCGTCTCTAGCAAGCAATCGTCGAGCTGATATGCAGAACGGTCCATGCGGCTGGCGCCTGCAATCATTGCCCGATGGCTTCGCTCCAACCACACTGCCCGTCCGCGCACCGAGGCATCGAGGAGCCACGATATCCGGAGCCCGCGGCTCTTGCGGGGAGGAGGTTCAGAGTAAGCTGCGATTCCTCGAGGCACTCACGTACTTCTGGCTTCTCATGGTTTCGGCTCAGCGCCGACGGGCAACCATGGGGGCCGGTCGATGAGTTGAGCCTCTACATGGGTACAGCGTTCAGCAGTATCCCCGATGACGACGCATCAGTGCATTCACCAAGCTCTCCCCCTTGGTCTTCAGCCAAAAGCTCCGGTGTGCAAGGCAAAAAACCACGGCATGTAGTCAATTGGCACGTGCCGCACGATCCTGAGAATCCTTTGGACTGGACAACAAAATCGAGATGGCTTCAGGTTGTGCTTGTGAGTATTTTGACGCTGGAAGCGTGAGTAGCCGAGTTCTATGGTAACGAACTCTTTCCATCCTACAAATGCTTACAGCTATACCTACAGAGCAATGGCACCTTCGATGCCTTTTCCAGCCGTGGCGGATACTCTTGAAGAGTTCAAAGCACCTGACGGTATCTTGATGTCCCTCGTTGTGTCAATCTTCAACTTGGGTTCTGTATTCGGTACAGCGTAAGCGCCTGATGAAAGCAATTCATTTCTAAACATTTGTACATGTACTGAAGACAATCAGGCTAGCATCGCCCTTGTCGGAGCTACACGGAAGATACCCATTGTATAGCATTTCGAACATTTTGTTTCTTGCATGTAACGCGGCTTGTGCCTTATCGCCTAACCTCGGCGTCCTCCTCATGTTTCGGTTCATGAGTGGATTCACCGGTGCTATTCCTTTCGCTATTGGATGTGGCACTATCTCCGACACAACCCAGCGTCCCTGGCGAAGCCGGGCTGTATCGGCCTATTCTTTCGCCCTGATGCTGGGTACTGCGATTGGGCCTGCCATAGGAGGCTTTGTGGCGCAATACTTTGGCTGGCGCTGGATCTTCTGGTCGCTCTGCATCCTGGTGAGTAATAACTCAAGTCCGGATGACATTAGGAGGTGAAATTATTCACAGATGCACACAGGCTGCCATTAACAGCATTGCGTTGGTTCTCTTTCTTGGAGAGACCTCATCGAGAACGCTGTTAGAGAAGCAAGAAAAGAAAGTCAGGAAGACTACCAGAGATCCTGGGTTTTTCTCGGCTTTGAGTAGTAGTGGTGTCTCACCAGGCGAGGCTCTCTCGGAAGCTCTCAAGAAACCCTTTCGACTTCTTATAACTCCCCCACCCTACTTGCGAGACACCCCCACTTCCGAGACATTATCATCACCATCATCACCACCACTATCACCACTTATTTCACCATCTCTGCTGCCCACCCATATACAACTTTCGGCCTCGCTAGGCAATTCGGATGCCCTAGATTCATCCGGACTATCTATATTGCCGGCATGCGGACTCTGCGCCCAGATAATATCCTCTATAGTAGCAAAGGTGCTGTTAGGCAATAGGCAGACCTTTTTCCTCTTGCGTGACTATATATTATCTAACTAGGCCTGTAATAAGTTAACTTACCTTTCTAGAAGGGCTGCTCTAGATACCTACTTATTATATCCCTTTTGCACCTTTCTAGATAGGTAACAAATAGTATAGGTATATAACCTATCCTTACCTAGCTAGGTTAACTAGTGTAATTAATACTATAGATTAGTAGATTAATAGGGGGTTAACTATAAGATAATAGATTTAGCTTTATCCTACTGTTAGCTACTAGACTACTAGCTAGCCTAGCTAGCCTGGCTAGCCTGCTAGGCCTTAGTAACTAGTAGGTTAGATAGAGGGTGCCTTCTAGATACTAGCTATAACCTAGTAGCCCTCTAGCCACTCTTAATATTAATATCTATAATAGATACCTTATAAGCCTTAAAATAACACTCTAGAAATACCCTTTTGCTAGTAATAGTTAAATCTATTACCTAGTTATCTAGACATCTAACCCTCTAGTAATAGGCCTACTTTAATAGGCTAAAGACAGCTATATCTAGAGGCTAGAGGATAGTAGAGGTGTATAGCAGTAGAAATAATAAATAGATATAATACTACTAGTATTTTTATATAAAGTTAATAGTTATATAGCTATAATGCCTATTAAGAACTAGTAGTCTAGCCTCCTCTAGCTAAGTAGGCCTAGTACGTAAAATAAAGACCTCCTCTAGCTATTTAAAGGCAGTATTATTAGTTATCTAGCTATTATTTATTACTATAATTACTAAGCCTTATATCTAGATCTAGAGGCTAGAGGATAGTAGAGGTGTATAGCAGTAGAAATAATAAATAGATATAATACTACTAGTATTTTTATATAAAGTTAATAGTTATATAGCTATAATGCCTATTAAGAACTAGTAGTCTAGCCTCCTCTAGCTAAGTAGGCCTAGTACGTAAAATAAAGACCTCCTCTAGCTATTTAAAGGCAGTATTATTAGTTATCTAGCTATTATTTATTACTATAAATTACTAAGCCTTATATCTAGATAAGTTAGATAGGTTAGATATAAACCACTAGGCCTAAAGTAACTTACCTTTATATATAAGTAAGGGGGGTAAAAAGCTCCTAGCAGCAGACACATACTTAATAATAAATACTTATACCTAAGATCCTAGCTGCTTTTTCTAGATATATTATAATATTATAAAGCCTAACACTAGCCTATTAACTCCCTTACCCTTTATAATACTAGTCTTATCTATATTCTATCTGTTAGATAGATAGATACCCTAGATAGTAGGGATACTACTAAGGCAATAGAAGAAATCCTAGATAACCTTAGGGGAATAGGCTGCCTATCGCCAGGCATCAATTACTCTAGATCAGAGGGTTCTAATAGATAGATTTCGCCACATAAATCAGGCTATCTATTTCCTCCCTATAGGAGGATACCTATCGCCCATTATACGCTCTGCTAGGCCCTTTACTTATTAATAAGTAATCTGCCTGCTAAGGGAAGCTTAGAGGGATATATAGGCAGCCAGATTATCCTCTTAGGCCTAAGATAAGTGTTACATATAGGTAAAGGCAGTATCTTTACTTTACTGCCTATAGTATTAATAATAAAGTAACTAGTATAGTATGCCCTATTTAGAAGCAGCAGCCTAGATGCTATACCTATTTTATATATCTAGAAGGGCCTAATAAAGCTTATCTTTAGTATATTACTTTATAATAAGTTAAAGAAGGTATCTTAAAAAAATAGCGTTATTTAGTTATATATATAAAATGTTATAATAGTTTAAAAAAGGTGGTAATGTTAATGAAGGAGGAGAAATGCGGGATTTTTGGATGTCTCGGAAGTGGGGGTGTCTCGGATGTGGGGTGGGGGAGTTACTCCACCCAATCGTCTTTGCGTTTTCTTTGTACTTTGCTGTAGTATACGGCATTCTTGTGAGCAGCATCTTTTCGTCGTTTACCACCCCAGTATCTGACCAATATCACTTAGTACCTCCTCTTTGCAACCTTTCCCATCGTCTTCACCAGCAGATACAACTTCTCGACTGGCTCTTCTGGCCTTGCATTCTTAGGCGTTGGCATCGGGCTTACAGTAGGCGCTGTGCTTGATATGCTTTGGAGTGACCGAATGGCCGCATCCTTGCTTCTTAAGAGAGGTACCAGGACACCCGAACTTCGTCTAACTCTCATGAGCTATTGTGTCCTCCTGATCCCGACCGGGATCCTCTTGTATGGCTGGACAGTAGAGAAGACCATCTTCTGGCTGGTGCCGATGACTGGCACTGCCCTTTTTGGAGTGGGCGTTATGCTACTGTTTGTAAGTCGATCTGGCCGTCGTATATATGGGGACAATAAAGGAGTATTGCCAACTAACCAATAAGCCAGGCATCAGGCACGTCCTACCTCATAGAAGCCTTCCCAGTTCATGCCATCCCCGCCCTTGCTGCCTTGATAATGTTGAGTGGCATTTTTGGTGCTTTCTTACCAATCATAGGACCTCCTATGTATTCTGCTTTGGGGCTGGGCTGGGGAAGTACTATCATGGCTGGAATCGTTGTAGCCATGGCGCCCATACCTTGGCTCATTATGAAACATGGGGAAGGGATGAGGGTAAAATATTCACATCAAGCTTGTTAGCCCATTGCACCGGGAGATGAAGAAGAAACAAGCAATTCGGTCTATTCCTTTCCTGGTGCATAGAGCCTTGATACTACATGTGTAATTATCGATGGCGCCACAAATATGCTTATGCTACAGAAAAGAAGATCATCAGCCTGCACTGATGGACTGCGTCTTTGGTTCTGATTGCTGCGGACTTGTCATAACAAGCAGTCGAAAGATGGTTTTAACATAATGTCTAGGTTTATGTTTTATCGCAAAACCTTCCCCGTACTGATTCTGATTGTGTGATTGAGCTTATCCGAGAAACATGCCCATCATCCTTCGTGACTGATTTCATCTCTCGACCCAGCTTTAGCATAAATCTTGTCCAAGAGTCGACATAAACAGTTTTCCCCGGGTTACGTGCCTCCTTTTGTCCAGTTAGAAGTATTCTTCCAGCTGTTGCCATCTGGAATAATGTTCGATTAATGTCTTTCCCCTCACCGGTCCATCGCAAGTTGACAAGGACTGGCAACTTTGAGAAGATCTTCGCCATGCTGGACACGGTCTGACCCTCCCGCTCACAGTGTAAGAAGAGGCCTCAACGCGGAAAAATGCACTCTCCTTTCTCTTTTTTCGGTACATTGTTTTAACCTGCGGCTTAAAGCTGCTTCCGGGAAGTTTCTGAGAGAGGGGTGGACTCAGGAGATATCCTGCCGCCCTCCTCCATCCTGTGATTTGCCGTCGAGAGCAACACCGCCGCCACCACGATAATTCTCATCACTGCAGTACTTCCCCAGTAAAACAATACGAAAACCTCTCACCAGCCTTGTACGTTCAAGAAGCTGCAGGGCTAAGACGTCTCCGAGGTGGGCAAAGTCCACATCCAACGACACCCCACTGAGACTGTGCAACCTCACCGGCGATTCTTGCGCGTCCAGCTGATCATAACACAAACAACTATCGTGGCGAATCACGAGATTGTATCGCCAGTCTCCTACATACTCTGCAGGCTCGCCAGTCTTTCTGCCGCTTGCTGCATATTGGTTCCGACAGACTAGTCAATATCTACCCGAAAAAGACCAGGTGTGATCGTTATGACGACTTCCGTGGCCTGCCTTTGGGGTAGTCTTCCAAATCGGTCAAGGCAAGGTGCAGATACAACTTTGCTGAGGCGGTGTCCGACAAACTAGGTTCGCCTGCGATACGAAGCTGCAGCAGCTCCCAGCCACTACCAGACGCGTCAAGAGTCTCCGCTCTGGAGACTAGAGCTCTGAGACACCCATCCACACCGCTTGGCCGCAGGTTTCTGGTCACATGGTAAGTCAAAACCCTTCCGGACAGCTCAACGAACGGGCGTTGTATTGGTGACCGTCAAGCCGCCATTCAGCTTGACTAACCCCCCCAGGGCCTCGGGATTGTGGCTTGAACCGCTGCTTACCCAGCTAGCTCTGGGATTGGGCAGTAATCAGTACGATCCTCGCACATAGAACAGGCTTTGAGGTGGCTAACGGCTAGACGATAGGTTTTATATGTGATCAGTAGGTGCGCCTAGTCACACTATAACGTACTGGAATCCAACGTGAGAGAAGCAAATCACGTCGCAGAACGCGCGATCAAGTGCTTGGGAGACTTTAGATGACGAGTGTATGACGAAACCTAGGTCCTTTCAAAGGGGTACAAGCGGATGTTCTGGGTGGCCTCTTTTCATGGAAAAGTGATGACCGGGTGAGCCGGAGGTCTGCGCGAATGGCTAGATAACTAGTCATGATGCAGCGGGTTCTTGCATCTTATCAGCAGACCACTCAAACCCTCCCAGGCTTCCGGGAATCGACAGAGGTCTCAAGGTCCTTGAAATCCGAGCAGCTTCATGGCCCTGACTGGTAGGTATAGCTTACTGGGAATGCCAATCTAACGCCACGAACAAAGTGGATATGTCTCTAAAACCTGGGGCAAAGGTTTCCACACAAAGTGCGCTTAGGCTACGTACTCAATGGTAGAGAGCAAGATCCGAGGCTGTCGGAGAGCGCCACATGAGAAAATAAGGATGGAATTCACGCCCGAGGCAGGCTGGAACGTGCCGGGAAAGATGGGTGGGTGTGTGGGGATCATGGGGTTCAGCATGATGCACCAAAGATATCTAGAGCAAGACGATCTCACAGAAGAGGGTGTGCAGATGGCGCTCACCAATGAGACGGTGCCTTGGCTCTATTCCCTGTTTGGAGAGCACCTTATTCATTTCAAGGGCTTATGTTCCATACCTAGTGACTTCTGTAAAAAGACGGCTCGGGACTTCTCTTAAGCATAAGACAGCGGCGGGCTCGTCTCATTCGCTCGATACAAGGAGCCGGACTTCGGAATGGTACCAGTTGGGGGATGACAAGTGCCCCAAGGCGGTGGTTGCCTTTGGCAGATGATGTTTCTAAGAACGGGACCGCGCGGCTTCTTCTCTGGATGAACTCCCCTTCCCAACCCAACTCAAAAGGGCGGAGCTGCTAGGTCTGACATGGCGCGCCGCCATAAGGCTGCGACCAAGTAACTTGGTGGCTGGATTGTGGCGGCTCGGCGAATGGCAAGAACATGGGGAATCGGCCTAGAGGCACGGCCGGAGACATGCAGTGTGTGCGCGCGCAAGCAAGTTGGCTTAGCTGAGGAGTAGGTCATGCGGGACTCGTTTGACTCTGGGCCAGATGGTGATACGAGAAATGCTGGGTGATACTCGGCCTCAATCGCGAGATGATCAAATGTGGGGTGCTAGAAGATGAGCATGTAATAGTAGGTGGTGTGGAGGATCGGGAAGGGTGCGCAGAGTCCATCCATAATTTGTCCGACAGTTCTCTCGTGCGACCGCCGTGACTGAATGGGGAGTGATTGTATGCGGGCGCTTCGGTCCAGTCTGCTTTCTCTGCCTGTCAAGTCCACTTGGCCGTGTCTCCCACCGGCGAGGAAACGAATCCCGTTGCAAGTCAAGTGACGAGAGTTGAGAGACCATGCCGTGATTGTGACAGTGGGATGTATCCTCGGGAGGCGGCTGCGAACTGCTGCGAGTGTTACTGATTGCATACCCACGCCCCATGCTACCCGGCATATCGAAAGAGCTGTCCACTAGGAGGAGGAGCAAACGTTGTGGGAAGAAAGACAAGCAAGCCGATACGAAGCCTCACGGCCTCTCATCACGGTCTGGGCGGGACGACAATAACTTGGTCCGGGTGATTGGGGGGTCCGCAGGGTTGTTGTGAGTGAATGGGTATGGCCAAGAGCTATGGTATCATCTAGATGGATGGAGTGAACGGCACAGGCGGCCGACTGGAGAAATCATCTTGTTTGCTGGAGGAGGGGGAGGGGTGGGTGATGGAGGGGTTGTGAGTGAACATGTATGGGGAGAAGTTGTAATCAGACAGATGAGAGGCTGAGAGGGGATCGGTATAGGGGAGGATAATCCTTGCTTGCATCCATACCATGCTGTTCAAGCTGCTCGGCTGGGCAGGCAAGAGTGTCGACTGTGTAGGTACTGTAGTAGCAAGCAAGAGATGTGTAAGAATATGCAAGGTCTGGAATGGGGCTTGGACTGATACCGAAACATGACCTGCTGGCCCAGACCGGGATGAGTGTGTGGCTTGACTGAGGAATGTCAATAGAGCAGTGACACGCAGGGCTGGTGTGGTGTCGAGCAAGAACGTGGTTCACTCGATACGGCAAACAGCATGGTGCGTGAGCAGGCCCGAAGCGATCCCGAAGCGGTGAGGAAAGAAGATGATAGGTAGGTGGCTGAAGAAGAATGGGGTGCGTGAATAGAGAAACTTGCAAAATCCGTGAGTGATGGTCCATGATTCATGATGCGAGGTATCACGACTGATCTGGAATACGGGTCGTGATACAAGGAATCGTTAACAGACCGGGGCTACGATCATATCTCCAGGTCTTTGTCAACTTGGCAGTCGGATAACCATGTATTTTCGCTGGTGACGCGGGATGCGCCAGGCCTACGCGGCCAAACCCCTCAGTGTTGGGATGGCACGGTGTGGTTCAGACGAGATTTCCGTCAGAAGACACGACACCAACTTTGCTGGGATGGGGTTGTTCTTGGAATTCGGGCATGGAGAGAGATGGCAGTTGGGGTAAAGATGGGAAACAAACAAGCAGGCCAACCCGGTCGACGCAGGGATGGGCAGCATGGATGAAGCCAGGCAGCGGGCCGCCGGAGGGTAGGTAGTTAGAAGCGCATCAACTAATACTATGTATCCATACTAAGGCATCGGCATCCCTAAAAGCGGTGGTGACTGGTTGAGGTGATGGTTTGACAGGCACAGCGTTGGCGCGACAGCCTCCCTGCAGCATCGGACCTTTTCCCGGGCATCTTTGTGTGATGTGACTGTGTATCCACGAGGCAAAGCCTGTGATAGAGCGCACAACATATATGATTGGGGAAGCGAGGTAGACTGAGATAGATAGAGGAGAGGACAAGGCCACTGGCCTGTTTCATGGGCAGTCTACCACACTTGGACACCAACCAACCAGTGCCATCCGGGAAAACATGGCCCGCCCCAGGACTCTCCACCGGGAAAACCAAAGAAAAAGAAAAGTGCAAATGTCGTCGGATAGCTACTGTTGTATGACCTGGCTCAAAAAGGGCTGATGATGAGACGGATAGCTGCTGGCCGAGGCTGCAACAGGGTCTCAAAGGAGACGCAAATGCATGTTTGACCAGCGCAGCAACGGGTTGCGGTGGCAAAGAGGACGACCCCAAGGAAAAGGAGCAGAGCAACAGATGTGAGCATGAGAGACGATGCACTGCCAGCCAAGTGGGGAGGGGGCTATGACGAAGACGACCAACAACCACCAGTTGGAGATGTCAAATGTGTCAGCAACCGAGCATGTATGTGTATGTGTGAGGACGGGATCACAAAAAACCGACGAGGCGCTGGAGGACGGCTGCGTGCCGATAGGCAGCGATACTCTACAGGCGCGGGATGGACGATGTTCCAGAGTCCTAGTATGCGCAATCATCAACTAGCTAGTTTATAGCCCGCTCTCACGGGTTGAGGCAGAGACATACATGCACCCCGTGCTGGGGGCGCGCCATCGGCCGAAGATTCAGGCTGGGCAACGGTTACCCATGGAGAGTGCTGAGATGGAGAGAGGTGCTTGGAATCGGCTTGCGAGACGTGTCGACCTGTCATAAGTAGGTGGAGGCGGCGTGGGGGCCATGGAAATGGAAGAAGAGGGAAGAAGATGCCAGGATGGAATGGCAAGGCATTTCGCCCCGAACGGTGCGCTCGTAGGCCAGGGCACAAACATGGATGGCCATGTTCACCGGTTGTTTGGTGCTCTTGCGTTGGACGCTCTCCTTCAGCTTCAACTCTTCCTTGCTGTCTGGCATCTCTTTCCGTCTCGGTGGTAAATGTCTATACCTGTTTGTCTCTCCAAGGTTCGACTCCTCTCAACCCCCCCCCGCTGCATGCGTACGACATCTGTACATCCGGGCATGCGGGTGTGTCTGCGTGGGGTAGGATCCTTCTGTCGCGTTGCATCTCATGTCGCACAGCTGCAACGTTGGAGCGGCGAAGACTCGCGCGGCCGAGCGCCGTAGCCCGTCCCGCCATGGGTGCTGTGGGCAACGCTGCGCACTAGGATCGTCCAACGACGGTCCAATGTAACTAGATGCACGGGGAGTTTTCGGACAAGACCTTGGTGCCTATTGACGGGTAGTACTCGGTGATATTGCATGAGAACCCGTGATACTTGAGGCATGACAGGGTAGCCTGAAGATAGGCGAGACACCACCGGGCGATCTGGCCTCCGATGGAAATTACTGCCCGCGATGCAAGCTCAAGAGGGTCGCAAAAGGGAAGCCGGCCAGAGACATATCGTGCAGCTCAAGGGCGATGGGCAAGAACCGTTGTTGGCGTATGGAGACAACGTACGCAATGTTACTGATGGGCCCTGACGTCCTTCGTGTCCGCCATTTTAGTGTCCAAAACGTCCCAAAGTTCTTGGACCATCCGGGGTTGCAAGTCAAATCCCGGGCAAGCACAACATCAGAGCCCGACTCTGCTCTCAAAAGCAATGGCCTCGCGTTGCACAGGGCGTTAGACGCCTGAAAACAATTCCAATGACCTGGCCGGCGCTGTGTGACGCAGAGGCGTGGCTCAAGTTCGCAGACACGATGGGCGCTCTGCTTTGGGAGCCGCCTCCCAATAGCCAACAGTCTTGCAGGGCTGTGACGGCAGATGGAGTGAGGGGAGTGCGGGCGAATGAGACCTCGGAAAGTCCGGTCCATAATCCGACGGAAGCCAAGGACACATTAGATCCTGACAGGCAGACAGGCAAGCACTCGCCCATTCTCGTCGTCAAATTCGTGTAAGTGCGAACGGGCGGGAGATGTCTACGATGCCACGGCTCACACAACTTTCCATTCGCCACAGTTTGACGGTTCTCCTCTAGCTCGCCTACTCCCGAGACCCTGCAGTGTAAAAGGGCGTGGGCGTGATGGGATAGGCTCGAGGAGGTACAGAGTGGTATTATAACCACACTGCTTTGACGCGGCTGACCGCATTTTGCCCATCTCTCCCATCCCCTGACCCCCCACCCCCCCTTTTGCCGGACCCTCCCGACCGTCATCGGTAACTACTGGCTTTCTGCCCGGACAAGATCAAGGACTGAGGGGTAGGAAGAGCAAGTCGGCTGGATGCATCATGGGGCCGCCGCGTGATGGAGGCACACCACCTGCTTGTAACCTAGAGGTGGTTCTTTGGGAGGGTAGTGGAGGTGGTGGTGGTGGTGGTGGTGGTGGTGAGGGGACCGCAGGGGACGAGAGACATATGAAGCTGGCGTCTGTGTCTTTGCTGCGCGTCGAAGAGGCAACAGACGTTTGCTCGTACAAGAAAAGTGTCTCGGTCACGGTGGGTTGAGGCTCGACTACCTACCAGAGCATCCGGATATCGCTTGTCGAGGGCATGAGTGATGAGCGTGACGGCGGGCATGGATTTACATGAGGAAGGGTGGGGAAGGAAGGGTGGCAGGGTGGATGACGGCACATATGAGTGAAGAAGGGCGGATTCATGATTCAGATACAGGGGCAGGCGGCAATATGCTGTGAAGTTGGATATCAATGAGTGTGTATGTTCGGCTTGGGGCGGGTGACTGGGAAAATACATACATCAATGACGATGGATAACATGAGGTATCGTTGGCGTACTGGGGTGAAGTGAGGCATGAAACAAAAATAGACAAGGGAGGTTCTCCGAGGGGGTGTAGATGTTGTGAGTAACGCCCATGCTGGTGTGGCGTGGGTTTCGTGATGGTGAAGGCGTTATGTGCTTGTCCCGTCTGTGCCTGGGCCCGTCTCTACTTGCACTTATTTGCTGCGGATGGATGGAGTGTAATACTCGGTATACGATGATGGATGTACCCGTAGGTGATGGTTCATGAAGCTCCCCTTCTGACCAAAACTCGCAACATGCCCCTGGCTTAATCTGCAATGGGAGAAAACGCCTTTCTCGAAGCTGCCTAGCTAGTTAGCCCAGCAGTCCCGAAGTGATCCGCTAGTTGCCGCCTGCGCCTTGCTACATACGAACTGGACGTCCCGTCTGGAAACAAAGCAAGCTCGCGCAACACCAACCATTGCGGATCATCTGCTTTCATATCATCCACCCACTCACTCACTCACTCACTCACTCACTTACCCACTCACTCACTGATTTTCTCACCCACTCTTTTCGTCATTTCCTGGATATACCCGTGTCAAAATACGGGCAAGATTGGACCGGACATTCACCGCAGCGGCGACCTGGGACGACGACAAGGTAGTCTCAGTCGTCTCATTACCCCCCTCCCCCGCATCAACGCCCGCTCGCGCGATATCGAGTCTAGCAGATACCCTTTCGAGGTATGTACATTATCGGCATTGACTGAGATCAACCGCCCCTCCCAGGACAAGTTGGATCCTTGGTCTGCTGGACAGTCACATCCCGGCACTCCCTTCACTCCCCACGTCGTCCGGCTGTGTGTGTCCGTCTGTCTTGGTGTTGGCGGCAGAGTGCGGATACTTGACTGTCCAGTTGATCTAATCTCCAGCCTCCCAGGTCCAGGCACGACGCCGGCGGAGGTCCTGATTCGTCGGCTGGGTCATCTGGCGGTATCTGGGTATCAGCTTCCGCCATCACCGACCTCAGTTGCGACCTTGACCTGAATCAACTTGCACTCTCTCGTCGTCGCCTTTTTCCTTTTTTTACCTCCTCTCTCTCTCTCTCTCTCACACACACACTCTCTCTCTCGTCTTTCGTTACTCTTACCCCCCTCCTCTTCTCTTCTTAGTAATTCCACTGTACACGCGGCATCCGCCCAGATATATATCGAGGCAAGCCGCAACCTCAACTCACTTGCTAGAGGGATCCATCACCTTATCTTTCACACCTAACTTAACACCTACCTACCTACCTACCTACCTACTTATACACTTACGACTAGGTAGTTGATCTCCGCCCGCCGCCTAGTCCAGTCCGTCTCATCCAGCGGCACATTTATCCGTGCAGCATCAGCATCAGCACCGGCACGAACATCAGCACGAACGTAAGCACCACGTCACATCAGGTTTGGGAGCGAAGCCATCGCGGCGCCATTCATCAACACTTGAAAGACGTCCACCCCCCTCCCCCCTTTTCTTACACTGCGCTACCGAGAGACGGCGTTGCCCCCTCCCCGCGCCTCTCGTGCCCTCTCGCATCGCGTGGTCTCCTCGCCTCTTTTCCATCGCAAGTCCGGCCCGGCATCGTCGCCGCCCCATCTCATTTCACTCACTGGGGCTACAAGCTTCCATCCAGCAAGGGCCCTCTCTCGTTCGAAGTGGTCGTTGTCTTTTCTTAACCTGACTCGAGACGGCCGTCACTCGCCGACCTTGGCTCGACCCGACTAAGTGCAAAGACACTTTCTCGAGCACAACAAAAGCAAGCAAGCAAGGAAGCACATTTCAAACATTGGTTCAACCTGGCCCGCACGCTTGCTTCCTAGACCCGCGTCTGACCGAGGCGCAACGCAACACCACCACCGCCTTTGCCGCCCGCACGATAGACAGTCATCCTTGTCGCAGCTCTCTCTCTCTCTCCCTCTCTCTCATATCCATCCCACTCTCGCCCGCTTTCAAATACAGTACACACGTCGCCCGTTATCCCCTAACGCCGCCGCATCGGCTTGCTTGCCGTCCACACCAGGTACCGACGGCGCGGACTGGTCCAGACTACTGCGCAATACTGCATAATATCGACTCTATCCGTACTCTCGCTGGCTTTCGACGGCCTGTCTCACTACTTGGACACTCGCGCCTCCATAACCACTGACTCTATCGCCCTGCTGTCTCACCCACACCACCAGCTTACCAACCGAACCCGTCCAGCACTTGGGGTACCTACCTACGATTACAAGGAGAGAAGACCAACTGCCGTGCTGGCTTTACGATAGCGCCTGTCGAGTGACGCACTGCACAAAGTGCTGGTTCGGTGTGTTGGGTTCAGTTCAGGCCCCCCCCCCCCTTCCCCACGCCGTACTCCGCGGCATATCGACGACCTATACCTACCCACCTATAGGTACATACATACCTTGGTACCTCGAGTACCTGTGGTAGCCTACCTACCTACCTGTGTCAACCAACATACCTAGGTACCTTCCCACGCAATTAACTAGGTAGGGTACATAGGCGCCCTCAAAAGCACCGAACCCCTCCCCTCCACAGCGCCCATCGCCCGCTACCTACCGCCCACCACTACCACCGCCCACCGTCACTCCCCCCCCCCCCCACACATCACCCTCCTCTCACTGCCTCCGTCTCCCGCCTCCTGCCTCTTCCACTTCGCTTCTCTTTTTTCCCTCTTCCTTCCCGTCCCCTCCGTCTTCTCCCCTCCCCTCCTCCGGCCCAAAATGCCTTCAACAAACGGCTCAGAATATCGCCATATGCGCAGTGGCAGCCTCAATATTCAGCAACAGAATGGTCACCCCAGTCCCATTATGAGTCCAATGCCCTCCACCGCATCCACTGCCTCCGCCTCTGCCTCCGCCGCAAGGTTCGACGGCCCGCGGAGTCCACCAAGTACGTCACCTTACTTCTGCTTCTACGTTTTCTGCTTCTGCTCCGTTCCTCGTCCTTGTCTTTCTTACCTCGTCTTGTCGTCGTCGTCTCCTCTCCCGTCGCGGTCCTGTTGATGTCGACGCCGCTCTGCTCTGTCACCGACGGCGAAGCTGCAGCTGCCGGACTTGTTCGGCATTGTCGCCGATGGTCGTCTCGGATCGTCTGCAATACGTCGCACCGCACCCGCTCTTGAGCAACCTCCTGCTCGGCTCGGCTCTGCTTCCCTCTGCCCGAATCCCCCCTCTACTCTGCTCTGCTCTGTTCTGTTCAGTTCTGCTCTGTCGCGCTTCCAGTTCATCGCTGACCTCCATCTCCCCATAACAGACACATCACACGTTCCCTGTAAATTCTTCCGACAAGGCGCCTGTCAAGCCGGCAATGCTTGTCCTTTCAGTCACGATCTCGGTGCCGCTGCCGAGAACATTTGCAAGTACTTTGCAAAGGTGCGTTGCTCCCATCCTCCAATCTGCGAACATCGCGAAGCCTTCTTCGCCCCTCCCCACCCCCCTGTCCTATTTAACCCCTCCCTCGTCTTGCGTGCTCTGCCCCTCGGGTACACAGACCATCCGCGCCTCTTTGCCCGTGCCCCTGCCTTGGCTACACACCGATTGCATCAAACGATGACTTCGATCCCGAGCGCTAACATGGTCCTCTCCGTTGCAGGGCAACTGCAAATTCGGCCCGAAATGTGCCAACATCCATGTCCTCCCCGACGGTCGACGCATCAACTACGGCAAGAATGGTGTCACCATTGGTACCTCTCCGATAGCCCTGGGCGGTCGCATCAACCCGACCTCCGCAGCCAACTACCACCCGACGAGTGCCCTGACTTCCGGCCTCTACCGTGAAGGCGTCCCTCCCTATACCTCCGCATACCCGTACGGCGACGAGAGACAGAACCATTTGGGCGGCCCGCCAAATCTCGAGAACGGCCTGCCCACCATCGATACCACCTACTCTCATCCCGGCTCCAACTACGGCTCGCCTCGCGATGAGGACGCGTCCCGATTCGGCCTCGGCCTGTCTCCCATCAACGCCAATGGCCTTTCCGTCCTCGATGCGCCACTTCCTGCATCTTTCGATTCCCAGGGCATGTCCAACGCCGCCCGCTTCCCCGCCGCTCCGTGGCCCTCATCCGTGCCCTCCAAGTTCGGCATCGAATCTCCCACCCCCTCCTTGAGCAACGCCAAAGACTCGCGCACTTCCGAGACTTTGAAGATGCTCCACACGTCTGCCTTTGGTGGCAGTGAATACCTTGCAGCTGCCAACGTGACCGCTTCCAGCAGCCCTCCCAGCCAGCCCGAGGAGTACTTCGGCAAGCGCACCATGCACTCGAGCCGATACGCGAAGCCCAAGATGATGAGCTCGAGCATGCCCAAGACGACCGCCGTGGATCACGACTGGGAGGCCGACTTTGGCTTCTTGGAGGAGGACTGCGTGCCGCACAACTTGCAGGATCTCCTTACGCCAACCGAGAAAGCTCGCCGCGGCTCCCTGCGTACCGTCGATGGTGAGCCGGGCAGTGAGAATGCGACCAAGTTCGGCAGCCCTATTGGCGGCGCAAGCCCGAGCAGATGGGGTCCTTTGTTCCAGCGCCAAAAAGAGGACGAGCTCGGCACACACAAGCATGGGCCCTCGGCCTTTGGACACGTCGGCAGCCCTCTCCGAAACTCGCTGCTCTCCAACGAAATGGGCCACGGCGGTGCCATGGCCCGGCCTATCGGCTCTCGTGCTGGCAGCGAGCCCATGTCCACCCTCACCCAGCAACTCCAGCGAACCCGCCTGGGTGATGACGGGAGCGCCAGCCCGCACTTACACCCCTTGGCCGCTGCCGGTCGCGCCTCGAGCATCGGTGGCGCTGGTCCCATCGGAAAGGAGCGCGATCGCATCATGGAGCGGCACGTCTCGAGCGGGTCCATCAGCTCCTCCGTCACGGGGCGATATACCACCCCTATCGACGAGGAGGACCCCGCCTTTGTGTTCAACATGGAAGATGAGGAAGACCAGTCCCCAGCCCGCCTGCGCAAGAACGGGTCTGCCGGCTTTGGCATTGGTGGCGGATGGAGCTACGCCAACGCCCTCTCCAACAAGGGCGCCGCGTCTGCGTCTGGTCTGGCCAAGGACCAACGGGAACCATCGGTCAGCGTCGAGACTGTGGGCGGGCGCTGATGGTCTGGTTTTTAGGCGGCTACGTTTGGCAAAACCCCGGCAACTGAAAAGCATAGCGACGGTGCAATGCCATGATTTCGGTGGCATTCTATTTACTCTCACCACTTTCACATCCTGACGATACTATACGACACATTTCGGTCACGATTTTCATAGCATGCATGGGCCAAACCAAAAGCCAGCGGGAGAACAAAAGAAGAAAAAAAAAAACCAAGAATCGGTCTTTCAAAATCAAACGGATATAACAAGGGATCAGGTCTACAAGGGGGTGGCTGTTTATACAATTGGGTAGGGAGTTTTTGTTGGAGTACCGTCGACGTACGCTGTCTTATTGGCTTTCAAACGAATATTGGCGGAGGTTTAATACTGTCTATTAGCTTGCTCGGCAGAGGATTTCTTACACTCTGTAACAAGGACACTACTACTGCTTTCAATCGCTATCAAAATCCGGAGGATTGATACTTTTTGCTCTTCATTGTTTCTATCTTGTCCCGCCTCTCTAGTGGGTGGAAGCATGGCACCTAGGTGCCCATCTACCTAGGCTATGACTTCAGGATCACCTAGGGTTGGGATGGATCATCTTTTGACAAACTTGGACAAGGGGTTGGGGGATAGAAGGCGACAAATGAGCCAGCCGGGAGATACATTTTACCATTTCGACGTTTGGTTGGCACAATCGTCACGAATTGACGGGTTGTGACTCGGCACCGCGTTAGAGACGTTTGGGATGGGAAAAGCAGATATACCACCGTCTAGTTATCGCACTTCATACAGAAGCCGATTTTGTCGAGGTGACCAAGGAGCTCTGGCAACTCGGCGTTTGTGAGGCTCGATTGCACAGCTCAAGGAGATGAAGCAGAGCGTCGAGTTTTCGGCTGTTATGCAGCGCAGGACAACGCCGATAAGGGAACCAACCCATTTCACGTAAAGGGATCCCCGGTCGTGGGCGACAAAAGTCTATACACTAATACAATGGCAAATTGAACGGATACCGGAGATGTCCAACTCCAGATCGTGTCGCATTGCCGTTCATGCGCGGGGGCCGCGCCGTGGGCTACCATACTAAACCGCCCACTCTCAACGATAAACCCATCTCGCCTCTAATCTTCTCTCATTACCCCCCGCATATCCCATGAAAGGGATCCCTCAAGAGCACACAGACGCGGCATCCTCGCACGCGAAGCCCCCTTCCCCGTGGCTATCAAAGGCTGCGAGTGGCGTATTCGATGCAGGGGCGGGGGAAGGTTATTGTACAGACCGCCGGGGGGGGGAGACGGGTTTGGCGGAGGGAGGTGTGATTTGGTGTCATTTAGTGGGCATCGGGTTGGTTAACGATGTACTCGACCGCCTTGTCGACTGTGAGGCATATGTCAATATGGAAGCCTAGATTTGAAACAGAAAGGGAGGGGCAGAGAGGAAGCGCGTACTTGAGTGGATGGTGTCGGCATCCTTGTCGGGGATCTCGATGCTGAACTCCTCCTCAATGGCCATGACGACCTCGACGGTGTCCAAGCTGTCCAGGCCAAGGTCGTTGGCGAAGTGCGCGTTGGGCTTAATCTAGATGTTGCGCCTCGGCGTCAGCTGTCTATTGTCCAAGCAAGTGCTTTTGTTTTTGTTTTTTTATTCGTGGCCCAATTGACGACGTCGTTGGTGAGAACGGGAACATGGCAGTGACGTACGTTGGCCGGGTCGTTGACCTTGTCGAAACCCTGAAGCAGAGCCATGATACGGCCCTCAACCTCTTGCTGGTTCAGGCCGGCGGCGGCAGAGTACATGCGGACGGAAATGGCCTTGGGGGCGGCGCGGAAGGCAGAACGGGGCGCGACGAGGGACCTCCGGGCGAGGGGGGCGGACTGCTGAACGGCGGGACGGATGGCGCGCGTAGCGGCGGCCGCGGAACGGAGGACTGCGGTGCGAAACATTTCGGCTGGCTCTGTGTATATACGGGAACGAGAGGCTTTTCGAAAGCTCGGACGGTGGATTGGGTTCGGGATGGACGAGATGGGGGATTTCGTTGGTTTGGGTTGGCGGCCGAACTGAGATAGATGGAAGCTGGCGGGTGGTGTGGAGGAGGTGTGCCGTGGTCGATTGTGATGATAAATTTCTCGTCACCCCCCCGAGGTGTCCCTGGCTTAGCTCCGAATAGCTGCACGTGCACGGTCATGTGACGTGAACAATACTTCTGCCTCGATGCCTGGTTAGAAGAAAGACCAAAAGTGGAATGAAGCATCACTCAAACGATTGGAAACTCAAATTCTAGACTCATTGTCTTTTTTTGATCATCAATTGGCCCACACTGCGTGCTCGTCGCCGTCAACATCATCGAGTCCAAGGCATTTTGCTCCCGACTCTCTCAAGTCCCGGTGCCACCACGTGACCGGCCCGCAACCAATCAATTGCCGCCCTTTGTAATCCCGCACCAAAGCTCGCCTCTTCGATCCCCCGGTTGTCCATAACGTCAAGCTCTCTCAACGTGCACCCGGGACACACCGTCGACTCCCTCACTTTCGCCCGCCTCGCCGCCCGCACAATCCGATCCGAACCCCGGAAGAGCACCCTCGATCCTCAACTTGCCCGGTCAATTGGCACCGTCGCATCCTATCCGATCTGGACACAATGCCTTCCGCGGCGCAGCTCCCCGTCACGATGTTGGCTCTGGCGTCAACAAGGCCCGTCGCGAGAAATTCGATGCAGCAGCACCTCGGCAGGCTGATGGCTGCCAATGCCATGCGCACTTACGCCACACCCGCCGGTCCCCCGCCCCCCAACTTCCGTGTGAAGAGACACAAGACCTGGGACGAGGACCAGGAGTCGACTCTGAACAAGCTGGGCCGCTACTTCCTGCTCTCCGAGATGGCGAGGGGCATGTACGTCCTGATGGAGCAGTTCTTCCGCCCGCCCTACACCATCTACTACCCCTTTGAGAAGGTGAGGAAAACGTTTTCTTGGTGTCTTGGGGCGGGATTATGGGGTAAATGGGAGGGAACCGGTCATTTTGAAATGCCATGGGATGTCCGTACAGGGAGGACGAGGAAGAGCCGGAACAAGGCCAAACTTTTGCAGTCGTCGATACGCCGCACCAGAGGGACCCATCAACATGACGAAACGACGGACGGCACCGCGATAGCGTGCATATCGAACAAGGACGCAAAAGGAAGACGGCTAACAGGAATTGGTACAGGGTCCCATTTCCCCCCGTTTCCGCGGTGAGCACGCCCTCCGTCGCTACCCATCCGGCGAGGAGCGCTGCATCGCCTGCAAGCTCTGCGAAGCCATTTGCCCGGCCCAGGCCATCACCATCGAGGCCGAGGAGCGTGCCGACGGATCCCGCCGCACCACCCGCTACGACATCGACATGACCAAGTGCATCTACTGCGGCTTTTGCCAGGAGTCGTGCCCTGTCGACGCCATTGTCGAGTCCCCTAACGCCGAGTACGCCACCGAGACCCGCGAGGAGCTGCTGTACAACAAGGAGAAGCTGCTGTCCAACGGCGACAAGTGGGAGCCTGAGCTGGCTGCCGTCATCCGCGCCGATGCCCCCTACAGGTAAGGCGCGGGGCCTGGATGTCATCTGGATGTGAGGGGCTGGTCATCCGGGAGAGAGGAAACTATCGAGGGACGAAGTATTATGTTTTGCAATTTAATGCTTGGAAGACGGATACATCGAAATGGGCATGGCAGAGATGGTCGCAGAGCAAATGAGGCCGCCGTCGCCGCCGTCGCCGCTGCCGCAACTGCGACAGCAGCCGGCACTAGCAGCAGCAATGGTTCTGGCATGTTGTGTATGTGTACAAGCAGGTCGGGATCGATTAGACTTGTGTAAATAGCTCGCGAAAAGCAACATTTTTTTTCTTTGTCTGTTGCCCGTCGTTCCTACCTTGACTGGCACATGAATCACGGTCGAGGCCGTAGAAGTGTTGGCTGGCGATGGATTTGGGCCTCGTTGGGCTTGCTGCGGTCATGTCACCTTTTCAGCCCAGTTGGAACCGATGCTCGCACATTCAGGTTCTTGGGTCATTATAATTAGGCTAATTTGTAACAAGACTTCCTCGGCTCTTCCCGCGTGTCCCCGCGGATCTGACCAGCCATCAAGCGGCATATCCAACAAGCCGACCGACCAACGCCATGCTTGAAAATCATGTCCAACGCACCCACAGACAACGCCATCGTTTTGGGAATTCTCTGCAACTCGCTTTACTTTTGGACTGAACCTCCACCCGGCCGAGCACCCTCATCGTGTCGCTAGAACGACTTCTCCCAAGCTCCCCACCAAACGCCCATATTGGCAGCCACTACCAAGTCCAACATCTTGAGACCCTCGGGGTAGATGATAAGCTTGCCCAGCTTGGCCCTCTTTCCCCGGTTCCCGCCACCGGCCCGCTCCTTGCCGAGCTTGAGGTCGAACGGGCTCGGCGGGTCGTCGTCGTCGCTGTACTCGCCGTCGCGGTTGCCGACCTTTAGCAACCGGCTGAAGTGTCCGCTGAGCTGCTCCCTCTTGCCCTCCTGACGGAACAGCTCCGTGCTGGGCAGGTTGAACCGCAGCTCGCTGACGACGGCGGAGTAGGTCGACGAACCGGTCGGGGCGAGCGGGTTGCTCAGCCCGCCCGCCATGGGGAGGAGGTGCCTGCACTTGACGCTGCGCCCGGCGTTGCCCGTGCGGAACTCGCAGCGGCCGTCCCAGGGCGAGATGAAGACGTAGCCCCTGGGTCGCAGGCCGTGGCCCGGCTGCGTTATGATGGGGCCCGAGTCGCTGCCGTTGGAAGACACCGAGCCCGTCGAGTTCGCACTCAGCTGGCGGATGTGGCGCTTGGAACGTTCCGGGGGTGAGCCGGGTACCGTGAGGCCGCCTCCGTCGTCGACGCTGCCGGAGCGAGACCGCGAGCTGAGCTTTTCGCGGATGTTGGAGGACCACGATTTGGCGTAGGCCATGACGACCTGGCGCGAGAAGCCCCCCTCGGAGGATTGCCGCTGTTGCTGCTGCTGCTGCTGCTGCTGTTGCTGCAGCTGGTGGAGGGCGTCTTCAGAGTTGGCAAAGGGGAGGGACGACGACGAGTTTCGGGCCATGTCGACGCTCTGCCGTAGCGGCATGTGCCGGAACTTTGCATACCCGGAAGACTCGAGGCGGATGTTGATGGGCGGCTGGGGCGCGTTCGCCCGCCGGCGTTCGTGGGCGGACAGACCGGCCGAGTCGAAGGACAAGTACTCGTAGCCGTCGTCGCCCGCGTCCTCGAGCTGGTGCGAGGAGACGCGGCCAATGTTCCACTGGTTTCCCGAGCCCGGATCGCGGCGGATCAGCGAGAGGGTATATGGGACCGCCGTAGTGTTGTGGAAGCGGTTCGGCGAGGGGGAGCGAGACTGCTGGCGGAAGATAGAGGACCCTGCCGGGGTGCGAGACCAGCGCCTCGAACGCGCGGGGGATGTCGGCTCGTCGGGGACGTGGGAGGTCTCGTGGGATGGCGAGGCGCGGTGAGGGTCATGGGGCTGGACGGAGGAGGGGGTGGCGGAATCCGGGGCTGGGGCCGGGGTTCCTCGCGCGCCTACTGGTTTACGGACGGGCATTGGTGGAGAGTTGGAGGTAGGTCGCGGGGGGAGGTCCGGGCGGTCCTCGGTCGAGCGGGGTTGGCGCGGGTCGGCACCGGGCACGTAGCCGGAGCCGTAGCCGTAGCCGCCATTTCCTGCGGCGGCCGGGTGAGACGAGGCAGGGGCCGGAGGGAGGTTCGGCGGCAACTGAGAGCGTGCCGGGTCGGCAGGCGGTGAGGGGACCTTGGCGCCAGTGGGCAAGGGTTTCCGACGGATCTGGTTCGCGCTGCGGGTACTATCCTGACTCGACCTGGGCGTGTCGGGGTTGCGCAAGTGATGGGCTTGGGCGGCGGCTTGATGCGCCTGGATTGGATTGTACGGGCGGCCGCCGTCGTTGGGTAGTTCCAGATGGATGTAGTAGAAAGAGTTTGCAACGTCTTCGCTGGTGACGTTTTTCGGGTGCGGTTTCGACGTTGTCAGGATCACGTCTGCGGGGAGGGAGTCAGCCATGAGGGGCAAGTGGAGTGAGATTGAGAGATGGAGGACAGAGGAGGGCTTACCTCGTGTGCCTGGTACGCGGGAGATGTAGAGTGTGAGAGGGTCTTGACGCTGGTCGGCCGGCTTATGAGGATATTGCGGCGGGTTTGCGGCGAGGTAGTTGAGTGAGGCCAGAGACCTAGCCTCGATGTTGGTGGACATTTTTTGCAAGAACAAGATGACTTTGCAAGAGCGCACCAAGGCGAAGGCGTGAGGTTGTTATTTGTGTACGCCTGGCCGATGGAGCGTAAGCGAAAGAAATGCGTATGTTACGGGTGTGTGGTAAGAAGTGAAAACGGTGGCTGAGCAAAGCGGTGATGTGAATGGGGCGGGAGGTTCACAGCCCACTCCCACTATAAGGGTGCACCAGATACCCGCAGGATACCTCACGGGAGTAAGTAAATAAGGTGTAGGCAAGGTGCTCCCAGACTCTGAAGTGCCGAGCGGATCAGGGGGAGGGGGGAACGCGGGCGACCAGGGAGCTGGCGCTGCCAATATGTCACAGCCGGAGCTGGTGTGGGTCGGAGAACAGGAGTTTTTTTTTTTTTTCTCTTGCTCTCTCTCTCTCCCTTCTTATGGAGAGGTTAGCGAAGAGGGGGCAAGGTTTCCGGAACGCTAAAGCTTAGTGAGGGGAAAATACTATGTCTCATGAAGGGGGGATGTCCCCCTTTTGGATGTGGTGTAGTGTTTGTTTTTGACTTTGATCTGTTCGGCCCGTGATGTCGGTGGTGAGTGACTCTACTTTTTTGTTTGCTTGCAAGATGGCAATACCCACTGTAGTCGGGATATCTCTTGGCGGAAGGACACAGTAGATGAGAGAGGCGTGGTCGAAAGGGATCTCAGGGAGAAAGTAGAGTGAGTGATCGACATGCAGCTGCAGGACGACGGGTGGTTTGGATCAAAACCCGATATAGGGCGGACTGGAGCTATGAGCGCAAGAGTGACGAATAGGCCATGTGTCTGGTGGGTATCCTATTGTTGATCGCCAGCCGTTTGTACCCACGTATCAATGGAAAAGTGAGAAAGGCTCGAGTTGGAAGCTGAATAAAGTGGGTGGCTGGTTGGATGGTTCGTTTTGCTGATGATGAGTTGCATTCTTGAGGAGGCCCACGGTAAAGAGCGTGGGCCACTAATCAAAAGACTTTGGATTAGGTTTCGAGGTTCAAGGAACAAGCAAATCAAGAAAATGAAGAAGAAAAAAGACCAACACCACCGTACTGCATGCAAGACTCAGGGGGAGAAACATACATACCTACACACATACATGCGTGCGAATAAGTCCCCGGATCTACGGTACGTAGCATCAGCGTATGGTACCTACCGGTAGTATGCTATGTAGCGGCTGCTGGGATGTTGCCTGGTCGTCGGCACTGCTTGGATCAGAATTGTCCGTACATACGCGGGACTCTCCCGGCTGATGCGGGCCGAGAGTGGCCCAATGGCAAAAACGAGTCGTAAGCTGGCTGAGGCTGTGCTTGATGCCAGTACAGCTTTGCGTGAGACTTGCTGCCAAGCGGTGCTGCGAACGAAGGAAGTATCGAGAACCACGTCTCAGGTGTTTGCAGGACGACATTGGAGTGAGTTCGCCGGGTCCCTACAACTAAATCTTTTCTCGTCGCCATGGGATGTGACGATACCACCGCGCCTGAAATTCAATGAGCTAGCTAAATCAGATGCCCCCCCAGTCAGTTGAAGAGGGGCATCTGATGGCTTGTGCTGCTGGGCTCGGCGCACGGAATAGTTGAGCGCAATTCAACAATAAGAGAAATCCTATTCCAAAGGGTATTGTTGTCACTTTCTTGAACATCTCAAATACCGCAGAAGGGTGCTGTCCTGTAGCAACAACTGTACGGATACAGGGCTGCAATACGCATGGAAGATCTTCATGGGATCCGTTGTTTCCCCCCAAAGTCTACCGGTACTGCGTGAGTGAGTTCCTTGGCGCCAGCTGCTGCAGGCAGCCCTGCCGATTAGCCTCGGCGATTAGATCAGAAGCTGGGAGCTCTGCTTGACTGGCCACCAAATTGTCTCGTTCAAGCGCAGGATAAAGACAAAAGGTCTTGTTTTCACTTTTCAAGATCTCTTGAACGCCAGAGATCACTCGGAACTCAACCGAATTGAGGCCTCTACCCGGACTTCATGACACTGCAGCCGCATGAAATGGGTTACGTTGCATGGTACACTTCCGCGCGGGTAGGGCCAAAATTCCGAGAACGATTGGGCTCCAGTTGTGGAGGATACCAGGATGACCAACCTTGGGCCCGGTAGACTGACAATACTACTAAGCATATCCGTATCAAAATCAATGGCACCTCGAAAGCCGTCCACTGGTCGTTAGCGTTTGCTCGGTCAATGCAGTTTCGAGTCCCAGAGTAGTCGGTGGAAATTCCCTGGTACTTGGCATTCTAAACCCCGTAGACGAGTTTCATGAGCGCTATGCTACGTACATGTGCATAGTAGGGTTAAATCGCCGAGTCGGAAGTGGGCGTCAGACGACGGCAGGGAAGTGTAACACATCATGGCTGGAAACAAAAAGAATGGCAGGCGTAAAAGACGTGACGCCACGACAGTCAGAGACCACGTACCGGGGCTCTTCCGGGAAGCCCTTGTCTACGTCAACTTTCGGGGGGCCAGGTCCGCTACAGCGTGGCGCCAACCCGACTTCCGCTTGTCCACTATGCGTATGTACGAATACGTACGACTGATTGTCCAGAGACGCCCACGGGAGCCGCGAGGCCCTGGAGACAGGTATTCCAAGGACCCCGAACTCGTACACGCCAAGTACCACGCATGATTGTTTGCCCAACAGTCAACAGTGCTGTGAATAGAGCCTCTGACAAAGTAGTGTCTTGTGCTATGTAGAGGTCCGTCTTCTCAATCGAGTACTCCAACAGCAGGCATGCAAATAGTCTATGTCGTATCGCTCATCGGCCGCCAAGATCCAACGATCCTCGGATTCTGACCAGGGAGAGACAGACCCAAGGAGACGACACAATGCTAGGCCCAGCCAGCTGTGCCAGGAGAGGCCGGCCCATCCTGGGGCACGAACTCGGCTGCGCAGACTGGAGCCCTTGCAAGCGACAGGCCATACGGCACCAAAGACGGCCCCGAAAGTCCGGCATGTCCTCGGTCGCCGAACTAGGCATAACCATTATTGGCTTACACATTGAACACGACGGAATGGGACTCTCCTTGGATATGCTCCAGCACCGAGTGCGTCCAAAACGCAACATTAATCGCTTCCATTCAGGGTTTAGCAAATAGATTACAACGCTGTTAATCCCCTTTTTCATGATGACGGACCATTGGAAAAACTGCTTCTATCGAATCCAGCAATGCTCCTTTTGAAGGTTTAGCCCTATAATTTCTTGCTCCGAACCAGCCCAATACTATCCATACACGCCCGGTTGCGCAATAGCTCGCCACGATCCTGGTCTCAACGACCACGCCACGAGCTATTATTTTGTGAATCATGTTACACAGAAGACACTCCAAATAGTGTAGGCCAGTGAACCAGACCACCCCTCTCCACTTGAACATTGCTGGGTTGCAACGGCCTTCTTTTGCGGCCTCAACGCTATACCAAAGGGTCTTTGCCGCTTTCATTCGCCAAATACACGTAAAGAGGTATTCAACCTCGACCAATGATTCCCGCAAACCAACTCTCGTTTCATACAATACATTCGCTCCTCTGACGAATTGTTCTTTTCCGATCCTTCCTTTCGGTCCAGTTTCAGTCCCTCACGTCAAATGATCGCATCCATGCAGTTGTTTACCTTGTTTTCTGCCACCCCTCGACCGCCGCCACGACTTTTCCCCGGCTGTTACGTGTCAGAGAGCCCTCAGATGACGTTTTGCAGAGTAACTCTTGGGCCGATCGCCGTCTTCCTCAACCTATCGACCGGCAACTAATGTAACAACGGCTGTAGCGGTAGCATTTCTGATCAGTTCTACTCAGGCATCACGGTCACGGCATTGGGCGCCGAAGCCAGATACGGGGAGAATGTTGGTGTTAGCCAGGACGCCACCTGCACCGGCTTCTTCAGCTCCAGTGGCAATGGCAATACGGTGTGGAATATTTTCATTACAGGTCCCCAAGCTACCAAATGTTAGATCACGGCTAGCACCGATTGATTTGCAGCACATACTCCGAACTTTTTGGCAGGCTATTGAGATAATAATGTTTCTTACAACATGATATCATAGAGTCGGGCCCTAAGAGCCCTGTCTTAGCTATGTGACTGTTAGTTAAATCACGTAAAAGGGATATCCTGTAGATCACATAACAAATTATAATACAGAATATAGTAGTTACTTGTTATATTAGTTAGTTATAAAGTAAATCTAGACTTTTAAGTAGTATACTAGTAGTAAGGTAGATACTACTAAAGGAGGTAGTATGTTATATAAATATTATATAACTACTTCCCCTAAAGTATACTTACTATATACTAATACTAGTAACTTTTCTTTTATAGTAGAAGTTACTAGTGCCCTAGCTATCTAGATTACCCTTAAAAGCCCTAAAAACGTAATAAAAATTAAAACTTTAAAAGTATTACACTTCTTATAGTTATATACTATATATTTTTATATCCTTTATTTTTCTTTATAAATAGTATAGGCTTATACTAACTTATTTAGGGGTATTTCTTTTTAGCTATAGCTATTAAAAGCGTATTCTTATATTAGTTAGATTTAACTACTACTATTATAGTCTAGTTAGTTATATAACTTATAATTTATTTTTTATTATATACTTATTATAATTTATTATACCTATATAACCTAACCCTCTATATATATCTTAGCTTTATTATTTATAACTAGGCCCTTAAGTGCTTAATTTAGGGATACCTTTATAAATCTATTAGCTAGATTATTAGATCTAGTAATCTATTAGACTTTATAAAGCTTATATTACTTATAAGACTATCTTAGTAATATAATATTAATTATAAGACGCTTCTCCCTTATAGTTCCTAGCTTAACTAGGTATTTATAAAGTAAATATAAGTCTATATATATAATAGTTAGGATTAATAAGATATTAAGCTTCTTTATAATTATTATAATAGTTATAAATAGGGCGTAAGCTATATTAACGCCTATAACTATTTTATATACTTTAGATATAAGGACGCTTTAGGTAACTTATTTAGACTTTATAAATAAGAAATAAAGAACGTTACTATAAAAGGAAAACTTAGCTTAGTTATTATTAACTTCTTTATTTATAAAAAAGATAATAAATCCTAACTATAAAGTTATATTATAATTATTAGTAAATAATCTATTTATAAATATAAATAGCTTAGCTAATATAAGATCTAAGGGAATAAATTATAAACTATAGTTAAGTAAGCTTATTTACTATTATAGTTAATAGTTAAGGTCTTTAATTACTTTATTATCTAGCTCCTTATATTAGGCTATAATAAAAAGATTATAGTATACTTTAGGCTAGTAAATAAAGGTAATATATACTCCTTATACCTATTACTAGATAAAATCTTAGTAGGCTATAAGTAACTTTATGTTAATTAATTATAGCTTTACTTCTTACTTTTTCTAGTAAAGTATAATAGAAGTGTCTATAGTAAATATAACTATAATAATCTTACTATTAAAGGTAAGTAGTTAATTAATAATAAGGAATAACTTATCCTTTATAATAAATTTTACCTTAGTTAATTTCTTATTCTCTTAGTTAGAAAATAAAAGGTCTATTAAGCTAATGGTATTATCTATTTATATACTAATAAGTATAAAGTATAGGTTTTTACTAAATAATAAGAGAAGGTAGGGGTTATATATAGTAAAAACTATCTAGAGATTCTCCTTATAATAATAGTTATAAGTAGCTTACTAGTATATACCTACCTTAGTAATCCTATATAGAGGCTTAATAACCTTTATAATAGTATTATTAAGGTACTTATAATAGATTTAGGCTAGGAGTTTAGTATAAATAGTATAGTTAAGGTAGGAAGTAGATTAAACGTAGGCCTATATAATATTATATAGCTATATAACTTTACTATTAGTAAGAAGAGAAAAGGCTAGTATAAAAATAAGCTGCTAGCTAGCCTACTAAATAGTAAGTAACTAGGTAAGAATAGCCTCTTTACTACTATTAGTATAGCCTTAAATAACTAGTTATAATTTCTTATAGGGCTTCTTATTAGTGCCTTTTACTTTATTTATAATTTATAATTTAAAAATTTACTTATAAGGTTAAAGTTAGTTAATTATAGTAAATTTAAAGACGCCTTATGTAATAAGGCTGTTAATCTTAGTAGTTACTAATTACTTAAATAGCTTACCTAGGGTAGTAATAATACCTTTTTTATATAGTTAGATTATAAGGGTTTAATAAGCCTCTTTTTTTACTAAGAGGAAGGTAGTATAAGGCACGTTAGTTCCTTATAGTAAGGTATATCTTATAGGGATTTTCCTAGCTTACTAAGGTTATATAATAGTAGTATTATTAGCACGTAGTTACTACCCTAGACTAGTTATAATAATAATAGTATCTTTAGTAGGCTTATTACTATAACTATTATTACTATTTAGGATAAATAGGGGATATTACTTAGCTAAGCCTCCTTCTCTATTATCTACTATATAGTATAGCTTAACTAATATAGATTAAAAAACGTAAGGACTATTAATATTAATAGTAAAGTCTTTACTTTAAGTAGTAAGTAACTTATATAAGCTAGACTAACCTCCTTTTTTACACTAAACGTAGACATTACTACCTAAGGGCAGATCCTTTATTATAGAGGTATTTAGGCTGTTATAAGTAGTAAGAGCTTTATTAATTTACTATATTACGTTATATTTATAAAGATCTTTAGTTACCTTATAGATAGCCGTTATATATTAAATTATCTTAAGTAAAAAAGTAAAGTTAGTAGTTATATATAACAAGATCCCTAGGCTAAGGGGTAGAATGCCTATAGATTAGTTAATTACTAGCTAATTAGTAATACGTCGGCCCAGCTAGTAACACATATATATATATTACCCTTTAGCCTAGCCAGCCAGCTAAAGTAGCTAAGTTAAATTCTATATCTATAGATACCCCTACCTATTAATTAATTAATTAATTTATTAATTTAACCTCTATCTTCTTCTCTAATCTAGGCTCTTAGCTAATATACCTTATAATTATTTAACTTCTACCTCTAAGAGGGATTAGGCTAGAAATAGATAATAAATTATTATAATCTTAACTATTATAATTAACGCGCTCTTTAGTAACTACTTACTAAATAAAACTAGAGCTACCCTTATCTACTTTATCTATTATAAAGCTAATACAGACTATCTAGGATTAGAATATAGCCTTTTTATAACTACTTACTAATTGCCTAGTAATAGCTAAGAAGTAATATAAGCGCTCTTTAGTATATACTTATAGTACCTTATAAGAAAACAGTACGCCTAAATAAGTAGTAGATTAGCTAGTAGCTATTAAGGCAGGTAATTAGCTTTAGCTAACAGTATCTAAAGGCTACTATATTAAATAAGCTCTTATAAAGGTAACCCTAACGCTCTAGACGTAATAGAGAAATTATTAAGCTACTATAGGTAGTAAGCGCCTCTAGGCTGCTTTTAAAGCGTTTATTTACTAATTATATATTAATCTAGAGCTCTAAGAGCGTTATCTTTATAGCTAGCTATATAAAGCCTAATAGCAGGCAGATTAATTACTACTATAATTTTTTACTAAATAGTTAGTAATCTATTAGGCCTTAGGCTCTAACTAGGAGGAGAATTAGCCTC